TCTGAAAACTCTGTTTAAAAACAAATGTCAAATTTTGGGGAGGAAAGGAAACTAGGGATTGGGGATTGAAAATATAGAATTTTAATTTTTATAAATTATCAGCTATCACTTTAATTAACGTAATCACTAACAAATCATCATTAAAGATATAAAACATAATAATCATAGTATGGTAATCACTTGATGTATCAATCCGCGTAATCACTTGCCTCAATAATCACATACCGTATAACGTATAAGCTAGGTAATCACATATAGGTTCACATGATATGGGTACATGTTTACAAGGGTGTAATCTAGTAAAGATGATTTAACATAATTTTATTGCCAGCCGCGATTAATTACAAATTACCCACTCCCTCTTTTGGTTTTACTTACTCTTTCATAATTTTCTATTCTTAACCCTCTTTCCCCCACGACATTGGACACTCACTCCCTTTGATCTTTACCGCCGCATGCCCTCTCCCTTTTATCGTACCCTTCCACCCCACGACAGTGTCCACTCCCTTTGATCTTTGCCGCGGCATGCCCTCTCCCTTTTGGTTTCGTCGGACCCCTCCACCACTTGACGGGGATTAGCTTAGTGACAGCCACGACGGTGACTGTGCCCACTCCCTTTGATCTTTACCGCGGCATTTCCTCTCCCTTTTGGTTTTTGTCGGACCCCTTCCCCACTTGATGGGGATTAGCTTAGTGACAGCCACGACGGTGACTGTGGACTAACTACTAATTTTAATGAAATTTTTATTTGAATAATTAAAGAAAGTATTTATATTTGAAATCTAAATTTATCATTATTAAATTTATTTTTAAATTTAATCTCATTATATAAAGCAGCCGAACCCATCTCAGAAAATAGCAATAGATGTGGTCCTTAATTGTGAAAGTTATCCGATATGTTAACCGATCAACCATGCCATCATCAACTAATCATACCCTTTTTGTATTATTTGCCTAGGCTTAAAGTAAGAAATTTCCTCCTTTTCTGCTTGGAAATCCGCCGGCGGCAATTATAAAATTATAATTTCATAATAAATATTCTTGAAAATATTAAAATTAAAAAATACCAAAGAAACTTCATCTCTGCATAATGATTCATAAAGTAATTGGTCATCAATATCTACAGAATCATCTTTTTCTTCTTCTTTTATTGAGGTATTATTTAATTGAATATTATCAGTTTTATTTGTATTCTTTGTTAAGTTTCCCCATCTATAATTATTTAATGGAGGTATATTTAAACGAAAATCTTCTTCATTAACTCCATTAGCTAATAATTCTTGTTCATATAATTTTGAATTATTTGTTGCATTTGGATATAAAGGATCTTTTTTTTTAAATATTTTTTTTTAAATTAATTCTCAATTACCTAATTCAATTAATTTATCATTAATAATTAAAGCTCTCTTTAAATTTCCTTGTTTATATAAAGAAATTGACAAAATATTTAAAATATCAGATTTGTTAATTTCTGTTGATTCTTTTTCGAGTAAATAATATCGTTCATTTGCTTCTTCCATCCATAATATTGAGTGGTAATAATCCTTTTTTAATTTAAATTAAATATTACAAATTAACCGCTAATTTCTTTTCGACCGAATTAAAAGTGAGGAACGGTGTGTATCTGATTACCTTCGGGGTTCGAGTCAAGCTTTAGGGACGTGGCTCTTCCAGGAGTGGGAAGAGCTGCGCCCCTAAACTCCGCGACCTCTATTAATAATTATGGTTGGTATCAGTAGGATAGAAGAGAAATACAAAAAAATTTTCGATTTGTGGCTCCAATTCAAAATTTTAGTTTCGTCTCCGGATTTTGTACTTAGAATGTTTTTAGGATTTCCAAAGCTAAAAAATTCTAACCTCTTCATTATATGCAGCCAAACCTATTTCATAGCAAACCTTTGCTAAAATAAATATAAATAATTATTTTATATAATTTAATAACCAAACATTACCATCCATTTGTTTGTTTATATTAATATTCTCAACAAGTCCATTAGCCAAATCTTTAGTTTTTAATTTGTAAGTATCTTGTAAGCGTAATAATCCTTGAATTGCTCCATTTAAATCCTCCTTTTTAAAAAGTAAAAAATACATGTAGGAAATTGAAAATTTCATACTCCCCGATTTTTTGCCTCTGATATAAGAATCCGTTTAAACTTGTTTGTGGCTTCAATTTAAAACTTTTGGAGCCACAAAAAACTTTTGTTTGACCCTATTTGGTAATAAAGCTGTACTATTTGTACCGGCTCAGAAAAAATCCATTTGTGGAACACTCTTAAAACTTGGAAATTCCAGATTTGCTCGTACTCGACTTCCTCGTACAAGTACAAGTACGAATTTTTATAAGAGCGTTCAATCACTGCTTTTACTTGACCTATTTAATATAAAATTAATTTAAAATAGAAAATATTGAGGGGAAATATTTAGTGTTTCCCCTCATTAGTGTTTACCACCTCATTAGGAAAACGAGTTTCTCTTTGATTTGAAATATTATTTAAATAATTTTCGGCCAAATCTGATTGAATTTCATTTGAAATTTCTGCCCAAGTGTTTGCTAATTTTTTTATTACTCTAAAAGCATTTAGTGGATTCAAAACACTTTTTGGTTCCAATTCAAATAATTCACTTTCTTCTTTTAAATATTTATTTGCCATACTATAAAATTATTTATAAATTAATGTTCAGTAACAATATGTATGTATAAAATAATAATTATTTTATTGTCGTAAGTATTAGAGGTCTAGCAAGCATAAAAATAAATGTTTTGCAAGAATTTTCATAATCTTCAGGAGTCGGATTGTCTATTTAGACCTCTTGGTAATTATCGTTTATTTCTCTTCACCCATTCCCCATACAAATACCTAATTTATTTTATAAGTTTTAATTAACCATTTTTTATTCTTTATTTATGGTCATAAATTAAAATTTAATTTAAAAACTACCTTTTTAAATTTTCTAAACGTTTATTTTCCAATAAAATATAATTTTCTATAATTTTTGGAATTTCTTTTTCTACATGTACTAATTGTTGTAATTCTGCAGAAGATGTAAATAAGTCTTGGGAATTAATTAATTTAATTAAAATAAATAAATTAATTAAATAAAAATACATTCTTAATTAAATATATTTTTTTAATTTAATTTTTTAAAATAATTTTTTGGCTAATTTTGTCAGAGAAAATTTTATATAAATTTTTGTATACTAAAATTAATGGCTTACAATTTCTCAAAATTTTATTTTATGTGTTGGCATTAAAATCGAAGGTTTCTTTTATTTAAAAATCTATTTTCTATCTTTATTACTTGACTCTTGCTCAATACAAACATTAAATTTAATATATTAAATTCCATAAAATATAAAGTTTGGATAGCTTTGCATTTATTTAAATTTAATTTTCCATTCTTTTTAAAATTGCGAATACTCAATAATTTTTATTTGAATTAACGGGGAAAAGGTAAAAGAATTTCTTATCGATTTGGCATGAGACATAAATTATAATCAGAAACTGATTTTATTTTTTATACTTTAACTTTTAATAAATGAAACATCTATAGCTTCACTTTTTTATATAAAGTCAAATCCCGGTATAATTTAACCTCTTGGGACTGAAAGATCGTGATTAAGACGCAGGCTTTTGCACTATTTACAGGCATTTGCCCTATTTTCGACCTTTCCGCCCTATTTTTTCCCTATTTTTACATTTGCCATATTTTTGCCCTATTTTTACCATTTTTAAAAATTTTTACAATTTTAGAATTTCGTAAATGAAATGGTAGAAAATGTAAAAGAAATCTGGCTTTACGGCCTTCCAAAATTCCTAAAATTTTCGCCTGCGGCGCAATAAAGGAACAAATCTGGCTTCTTGGCCTTACAAAATTCTCAAAATTTTTGCCTGCGGCGCTGAAAAAGGAAGAATCTGTCAAGACTGTGTGAAATTGAGGGATTGAAAGGGCTTGAGTGGAATATAGGCGCATTTTACTATAGACGATTTAGGAGGATTTACTAGGATTATGTGGGTCTGACTGGATAACGAGGGATTTGTATGATAAAGAGATATATCAATGAGAGATATCAATGGATTTGAGAGATTAATGGTGCATGCGAGGATTAAGGTGGATAGAAGACTAAGTTGGATATAATGTAATTTATAATAATTAAGGGTATATGAAGGGACACCGGGTGATTAATCCCCAAGTGCCTCGATATCTCTTTTAATCCCCTAATCCCAGCACTTAATCCACCAAAATTGGACGTAAAAAATACTCGAAGTTTCTACTACCCCCAAATCCAGTGAATCCTCACAAATCCCTCGATAACTACAAGTTTCTAACCATTTCTCCATCTTAGATAACTTTCTTGATCCTAAATCCCCTAGATAACTCTGTTAACCCCAATTCTATTAATAATTGCCCAAAATCCCCCTATATCTCTCCATTTGCTCAATTTAGTTAAACCTAGTTAAAAAATTTAGAATAAAGCTTTTTAATTTAAATTTCATTATTTTTAAGATTTTTAAATAATGCCCATTTTTTGCCCTATTTTTGGCCGATTTCGCCCTATTTTTGCCCTATTTTTGAGTGGCTGCGCCCAATTTTAGTGTTTTGGAAAGGGCCACCCTGTTAAGACGAGTTGTACAAGTGGAGAGAGATATCGGTTAGGCATCTCCCTACCAGTGCCGGAAGACTTCCAAAATTTCTCTGAAACTGGTTCCGGTTTTGGAACCGGTTCCGGAACTAGAACTGGACCATCACTGCTCCCTACTAATCAGTGGCCAACCAAATTAAAAAACGTATATAAAACTGAGATGTATTTTTACATTAAGAGATACCTACAATTTATTATTATTTAATATTTATAATTTTTCTTTTGTTTATATTTTTAATAATTCAAAATTAAACTTTTAAAAAATTCTTTATATATTAAATGCAATATTAAAAATCACAAAAAAAAATATTTTTTAAATATTTTCGTTATTTTTTTAGCTCTTTTATCAATTTAATTAAATTTCGCTAGGCTTTCCTGTATTGCACACAATTGATTGCTCTAAGTTATCTGTTGGAATAGTATGATTGTTGTTTGTAAGAACATCTTCGACCAATTCCAAATGCTTTAAAAAAATAAATTTTTAAAAATAAAAAAGAAATTTCAAAAATTAATTTCCAAATATCCCCTATCCCTTCAACGGACTGATAAAATTACCTTAAAATTTTCATTGTAAAAGAATTTAAAAAATAAATTCTTTTTTAAATTAAAACTTACTCTTGACAATTTATTTAATTCTTCTTTTTCTTCTTTCCCACCTTCCTCAAAATTATTTTCTTTTATTATTTCAATTTCTCCATTCTCTTTTAAAGGTTCTTTTTCATCTTCTTCTTCTACCTCCTTACTAGTTTGACAAAATTCTTGATTATTTTCTGAATTATTAATATCTTCCTTGTTTTCTTCTTTTTTATTTTCACAAATATTTTCTTCCTTCAAATTTTCCTTTTGCTTAATTTCCGATTCTTCTATTTTATTATTTTCCAACAAATCGACATCCCCATCAGTTTTTTGTTCTTCTTTTGGTTCTGAATTATTTTCTTTTTCTATCGAAATTTCAATTTTTGGGTCATCTTCTTTTAAATTTTGAATTTTCTGTTCCTCCTCATTTTTTGGAATTTTTTCTTAAATTTTAAAATTAATTATTATTTTAATTAATTTAAATTATTTATTTACCCAAAATTGGTTCTTCCAATTTATTTTCATTTATTTCTTCCAATTCTCCTTTATTTTCATCATTATTATCAGCAGAAACTACAGCATTGTCTGTCCAAACTTTAGCCATTTCTGTTGCTGCATTTTGAATATAATCACCATTCTTTTCTGTTGATATACAAACTGCTACAGGTTCGTCAGAAGCTGTTCGGCCGTTGGTTGATGCTGTTGGTGGAAATGCGACCTTTTAATAATAAAGGATGTTTTGTTAATTTTAATAAAAATTATTTTAAAAAATAAATATTTCAAAATGATTTAAAAATTCCAATTAGTTATTTCGAGAATACTTTAAGTAAATTCTTTAATATATTTTTATTGTAAAATTAAATTATACTTCATCATTAATTTCAGTTGAATGTCGATTAGTTCCACCATTTTTAAGGGAATATTTTTTAGAATGTTTTTGGCCCATTAATTTTTGATTTTATAAAATTATAATGAAAAAATATTTTTTGTTATTTAATGGTAGATTTATCTGTAAATAAATTTAAAGAAAAAATTATTTTTAATTCAAAAAGATGATTATTTTAAAGTAGAAAAGCTTTATAGAATAAAAAGCATTTAAAAAGCTCTTCTCTTTCCCCCCATTTCAATCACCATTTTCCAACCATTTTTATTTGCCGCATCGATTTATAGGTTTATATAAAAATAATTATATTTCGATTTATAATTATTCTCAACAACCCAAACACAAAATCTGTCCATAATTTCCGTCCCCAAATGTGTGAAAAGCAAAAAATAAAATAAAAATAACCCCCCAGTGTCAGTCAATTTATTTTTCGACCAAAAAAAATTTTTTTCTCTCAGTTTTTTAATTCTTCTGCATCATCACCCCCTTTTCCTTCTAAAATACCCTTTGAGTGGCAATTTTATAGGGTAATACTATCATAAAAGAATTTATATGTATGGACATAAAAGAATGGAAGAAAATGAGTGGCGGTCATTTTTATAAAAAAGAAATTTTTTTGTTAAAATATATGTACACGAAAACAAAGTAAAATGAGAAGCTAGTAAAATTAGAAATAAAAAGCTTTTAAATTTTTTTGGAGATTCATTTGTAATGCATGTCCATCAATATATAATATGGATATTTTAAAGTACATAAAAGAAAATAAAAAAAATAAATTAATGAAAAGCTTTAAATAAATTTATACATATTAAAGGAGTTTAATTAAATACTAAAAATATTTAGAAGTTTAAGTTTCTAATTTTCGGTATCAGGGTACGGTGCCGGAGTGCCAACAAAGCGTAGCAATGAAGACAAAAATTATTAGAGGCTCGCTTTCAAATATTTTTTGTTTTTCAAAAATCCCTAATAATTTATCTCCTTTCTACAGTCAACCACAGTTAAAAAACGTACACTAAACTGACAGTTATATTATAACGAGATAAGGTAACGCAAAGACAATTAAAGAATATTTTTACTACAAAGTAGAATTTTTTCTTTTAAATTTTCTTTTAAATTATTTCTCAGGAAAATATTTAAAAACAAAATAAAATGTTATTAAATAATAGGATGTTCCTATTTAATTTACCTTCAGTTAATAAAAATTTTCAGATAAGAGAATTCTGAAAAAGGACAACAAATAATAACTACATTTGTGTATTAGTCATAAATATATTAAATAGTAAGTAAATAATTTTGAAATACATTCAAGAAAAAAATAACTATTAATGGAAATTAATAGAAAACGATATTTAAACAATAAAAAGTATATACCTAGGTAATTAATAAAAGGAAATTAATAAATTAAAATTAAAACAAAAAAATATACAAAAATATTACAGGCCGTCTTAAATATTAAAATATACATATAATAAATTATTTAATTTAATAGTCTAGATATTAAATTCTTTACTTAACCATTTATAAATAAAAAGATCCAAATAAATTCCTCACCTTTTTATTAAGAAAACCCCCAAATATTTAAAAAGAATTTGTGTTCTTTTTAAGGAAAAACAAAATTTAAAAATAAAATCATCAACCCCCCCCCCCTCCCCCTAAACTTGTCCTCAATCATTTTATTAAATAAATATTTTGTGATGAATTATTTTGGCGCCATTGGCTTTAACTGATAAGAGAAAAGTAAAAGCTATTTGGAATTTAAACAATTTTTTTATTCACTCTCCTTTTCCTCATTTTTGGTAGCAATGAATGATTGAAACAAGAAAAAATAAAAAAAGAGAAAGGAATGAATCACAGACATTTTTTAAGAAAAAAAAGGAAATAAATAATTGTGATTACATTTTATATATTTTTCTAAACAAAATATATTTATGATATATTAAATAAATAAAAATTCAAAAATGTTAGAGGAAGCGTCAGCTGTTTTTAATTAAAAAATGATAAATAAATTATGTTATATTCGATGAGTAAATTCGATAAATATGAAAATTAATTTGGAAATTAGGTAGAATTTGGATAATATAGAAATAAGGTTAATTTACGTCAAAAAAAATAAAATGTAAATTTAAAATTTTTATTACGTAAAATAATTAAGTACTTTAATTGTAAATTAATTTAGAAAATATTATTAATAAAAATATTTTTTCTTTTAATTTATTTAAAATTTGTAAAGCCAATAAACATAACCAGCAATACAATAAACCTTTAAAAAATAGGAAAAAATTATTTTTTTTTGAATTTAAATATTTTTTTCCAAAAAATTCTTAAATTATTGAACTATATTTTCAATCTAACCTTTCATTCTTTTTAAATTAAACCCCAACTAAATGTAAATATTTTACTTTATTTAATTGGTTTATTTAAAATTATTTAAATTACTTGTTCAATTTTATCTGTGAAGAACAAGATGAGTTGTATCCTCCACTGCCGCTACTGCTTCGACCTCCCCTCCCTCGATAGCCACCCCGATATCCTCCTCCACCTCCCCATCCTCCTCCACTTCCACCACTTCCTCCTCCACCACCTCCTCCACTTCCACCACCTCTCCCTCCTCGACCACTTCCTCCACGTCCTCCTCTACTTCCACCGCCTCTCCCACCTCTTCCTCCTCGCCCACCACTTCGTCCTCCACGTCGTAAACTTAAATTTATATAAAAATATTAACTTTACTTAGTTTTTAAATATTTAATATAATTATTTATCCAGCTTATAAAGGTCTAAAAGGATGTTCAGACGTTTTTTTTGAAAATTATGGAGGAACATACCAACACTTTACTAAATTTCAAAGCCCAGTTAAATAATTTATTAAAAATTGATATAATCAAAAAATTTAAATATTTAGAGAATAAGAAGCTTATTCTCTAAATATTTGATCTAAATAAATTTTTAAAAATAATTTTATGTAGTACTTAATTATTAATCCTTCTCTTAAATCAATTGAATTTTCATTTGTCTTTTCTTCGACGAAAGAGTTTTGAATTAAAGTTTTTTGTTTAATTATTAGCTTTTTTAAATTGTTAATAAATATGTTGAAATAATTGAAATAAAACCCACAATTTAATAAATCCAACTTTAAATTTTTAAAAGATTTTTTAATAAAAAAATCATAAAAATACCCTAATTAAAATTAAATTTTTTAATTCATCATTTTTAATGTTAATAGAAGCTCCAACACAAAATATTATATTTGAAGTCGTTAAATAAATAGTTAATGAATTTTCTGAACAATTTTGTTGTAAAAAATTTTCTGAGATTTGGCACTTAAATTTTTTATAAATTTTATTTTATTATTATTTTTGATAATGTTACTATTTTATTTTCTTCAGTCTCAATTGCAATATTTAATTGAATGCCTTCACGGATACATTGATTTGCGGCATTTGGCTAATAAAGAAATTAATTACTTCACATTAAACAAAATATAAAATTTACCCCTATAGATTAAAATTGTTTAAGTAATTATAAAAAATTCTGACAGACTATTGCTGCATTCAGGCTGCACGCAAATGAAAAAATTTTCCACAGCCGCAGTCCGCAAGTCAAAAAACGACGCAATTTACTCAATCCGCAATTGCATGCAGCCCTGGTCCCCAGAGTTGTCCAAGAATGTCTTTTGAGCTTTGGTCTTGGGGCTGTACACAAATGTCTTGATCTTGAGCCTTGGACAATTTTTAGTCTTGAACAACTCTATTCTATTCCCTACTTTTTTTTGTCTTTATGCAGATTTTAAATTGTTTTTTAAATTAAATTATGACTTTTACCAATTTTGTCGATTCTTTAAACTCCTTAATAATTTTATAGAGTTCGGTAAGTTGATCCTAAATTAATTATAATATTTCGTTTAAATGGAATAATTTCAAACTTCTGTAAATAAATCATTATAATTACAAACAAAAGAAGGTTTGTTATCTTGGCAATTCCAATGATTTTTGTTTTTTGGATTCATATTTTCTTCTTCAGTATTTATTCCTTTGGCTGGGAGTATATTAATTAAAATAATTTTAAATAAAATTAAAAAATTAAATATTAATTTATACATTAATTAAAAATTAATTAATTAATTAAACAATTATTAATAAATAAATTAAAAGCTCCAGTTAATTTTTGACATATTTTTGTTGATATTTTTAGATAAAAATTTTTTTCCAAATGATTCATTAAAATACATACTAATTTATATTTTATTATATCCAAACATAATTTTACTTCCGTTCATAAAACGTATGTGCAATATTATCTTTAATTGAACTTATCCTTCGAGATTTATTGAATTATTCTATTAGACTATTATTTTTTGTTTTAGATAAATCTTTTTTAATCTTTTAAGATATAAATTTAATATTTTAATTTTAATATTTTAATTTTTCTAATTTTCTGAAGATTGTTCCTTTTTTTATTAAAGAAAAAGTAAATAAAAGCAGGAATAATTAGAGATATGTACGTGAGTTTAAAGTTTAAAACTAAGATTTATCGCAATAACTAGATTTTAAAACTAGTCACACATAACTAACAAAAATGAGATCTATTTATTTATTTTCTAAAACTAATTTTATTTATAAATGTGCAATAGAATCAGTATCTTCATCTAGCGAATCTTTACTTGAATATATAGTTGATGGAATATTATCAGAAAACCGTAATAATGTTAGATTATTGTTATTTTGTTGTTGTTCTTTATTTGTTATAAATACTAAATTTGTTAAATTATTATTATTTATTCCTCCAATATTCATTGTTGATGGGGCACTAGAAACTATAGAACCTCTCTGTTGTGCTGTTAACATTATTCTAATTCTCTGAAAAAAAAATAATTTTTTAACACTTAAACTTCAAAATAAGGCAACTTTAATTAAAGGGCCAGGCGTTGTAATAAACATATAAATAATATAAGCAGGAATTGACAGACAAGAGAGCATTCTGAATAGCCAACCTAATGACACTGACCACCTTTTTTTAATTAATTAAGACAAAAAATTTTTTTTTAATTACCAAGGATAAGTATAATTATTTAATTGTTTTGGCATAAATGAGGCAGAATATAAAGAAATTAAAAAAATAAATCCAATAAAAACAGGACAACAAGTCCAACAAATACGCCAATAAATACCAGGGTAAAACCCAAGCATAACATGAATATCCTTTTTTTAAATATAAATTAATTTAAAAATAATTTTAAAGGAAAAAACTTCGCTAAATCTTTTAATTCCATAAAACCAACAAACAGCAATCATTTCACACATTACAATAAAAAGTACGGAAAGGGAAACTCCATAATCATCCAGAAAGGGAATAACATAACGACCACCCTAATTATTAAAAAGTAATAAAATTTAAGATTTTTTATTAAAAATAGGGAAGTGCGAAAGTAAGAAAATTTATGCACGTTCAGGTATTTTTTCCTTCTTGAAGTTGGATCTAGGATTATCAGACACGGATATCAAGATCTGAAAAAGGTAGGATATCTGAAAATTTTTTGTTCGGATATTATATAGATATATTCGGGGATTTTCCAGGATACACCAACCATAACAAAGGAGAGTGCCTGGGGTGTCCGCGGGACTTCGGGAAGAAATTTGGTAGACAGGTAGATCATACCCTACCTTAGTATAATTTACAATTATATTTATAAATTATACTTTCTAAAATTTATATTTGGCTAAAAATATAAGTTATATAAATAGGAAAAAATTAATTAAAATTACATATTTTTTGCTTAGTGAAACTCTATTACACTTAACAAAATTTACCTACTATTTAATATTTTTTTAATTTAATGATTAAAAAATCTATTTAAAAACCAACATAAGTAACTGCTGGCAAAGATCCAATATAAAACATTCCTAAAACTAATGCTACAAATATTTCCCTTTTTCTTGCCAAAATCCTCGGATATTCATCACAAAATCCAGTAATAAATGCCTCAACCCCGCTAAACTAAAAAAATAAAATTTTTAAACAAAAAATTAAAATTAATTAACTGTGCTGTCAATGCCTAAAGTGATTAACATAAAAAAGAAAATAAGGGACCAAATAGGAGAATAATCCATTTTGGCAATTGCTTGGGGATAAACAACAAAAATAAGGGAAGATTCGTCCTTTAAATTATTTTTAAATTTATTTTTTTTAATTAAAGGAACATACTTCCCCAACAACTTCACTAACAGGTTTATTAGTTAATTCACTCATATAGCCAAGTGTTGAAAATATAACAAAACCAGAGAAGAAAGAAGTAAAACAATTAATTAATGAAGTTACTAATGCATCTCTTATTTTAAAATTATTATTTTAATTAAATAGAATACAGCGGAAAAGATAGACCCAATACTGGATATAGACCCAATACTGGATACACACTCAATTTAAGATATGTTTTTAAAATCTGGTTGTCCATTAGGCATGTAAATAAGCTGCTCATCATAAACAATGCCCGTTTTTAATAAAGATCGGGTGAAGAGGTCGGTCGATATTTTTTCGATAAATATCAAAAAATACTGAATAACGAAAAATATTGAAAAAAATCGTATCGGTCCGAGTATCCCTTTTTAATACCCACTCATTATAAGATAAAATTATTTCAGCCCCAACGGTATATCCTTATAGTAAGGGCAGAATTCTAATCACAAATAGTACCTATAGCAATTATTATTAAAATCATTGTAACTACTCAAAGCAAGAAGCACCCCAAACCCCGGTCCTAAAGAAAAAAATATTTGTGTAGCAGCAGCTGTCCAAACTTCAGGTTCTTTTAATTTATCAAAATCAGGTGTTAAATAATAATAAATTCCTTTGGAAGCTCCAGGGAGTGTCTTTAAATTTAAAAATTTTTTTATTTAAATTAAAAATTATTTACAAGTCCTCTAATAAGCAAAATAGATAAAACAATATATGGGGCAGTTGCTGTAATCCAAACAATTTTCCCTGTACTTTGAGGACCCTTCCATAATGCAAAATAAACAATTAAAAAGACAAGAAATAGGCAAAAGGCCATTGAAGGTTTAATTCCTCCAAGATTATCTAAACCTGTTGATTTATCACTTTCTAGAACTGAATATCTAAAAAATAAAACTAATTTTTTTAATTAAAGGAAGGAATAATTTACATGTAAAATTCTTGTGAAGGTGTTCGCCACTCCTGTCCATCTATAGCTGATTTAACTGAAGTATTTGAAGAGTTGTGAGTGTCACGACACCATTCAGTATTCCCTTTATTTAAAAATTTATAAAAATATTTGTAATGATAATACAAACAGGAATTATTGCAATGTAACCAAGGAACTTCCCACTAAAAAATAAAATTTAGAAATTTAACAAGAAGACATCTCCAGAAATATATTAGAATACTTATGTGAAAAGAGAAATATATAAGCTAGCTGGAATGTCCAACTGGCTAGGATTTAAAAAGCTTAGGAGGCTGGAGGTCAGTCAGTCTTTCGAACGTGGTGAGTTAAGCATCTAGTTAATAACTGTCAGGAGATTGCAGGTTCCTGCCCAGTTTTAAATTCCTGCCCAGTTTAAGGTGACTCTTACTCTCATCTCACAAAAATTAATCTCTATATATCTATTTTTCAATATTTAGAAAGGCATTTTTATTTATCTCAATAATAATTTTCTAACTATTTTTATATAAAATCACCCCAACAGAGCTGATAAAAAAATAAACAGCATGAGCAATTATTGCATTATAAAAACAAGCAATAAATGTGCAAATGAAGCAAATACCATAGCCAATACCTTTAAAGATATTGAGAATAGAAAAAAGATTTTTTAGCTCGAATTTTAAATTAACCCTTAAACATTGGACAAATTTTTCTCCAAATTGACAAACAACCAGAACGATGAAACTTTAAAAAATATAAAAATTATTTTTTAAATTAAAAATACTTGTCCAAGTACTAATTCCATATAAAACATTGGAAGTCCACCAATTAATAACTAATTATTTTTATTTAATTTATATAATAATATAATAATATTACCATAACAATATAAGGAATTAAAAAAGCACCTAAAAAATTTTAATTATTTTATTCAAGATAATCTCAAATAAATCTACCTCCCCCATGTTTGTAACAAACAGAAGGAAATCGCCAAATATTGCCTAGATCGACAGCATAGCCTAAATAAATAGTGAAAATATTTTTTAGAATTATTATTATCTCAATAAATAATATTCTCTTTTTTAACCCAACTCTATTGGGATCATAAAAAATAAAATTTGAATTTTTTCAACACTTTGCTGAATTTTAATAATTATTTAATCCGTCGTACACAATGGGGGGGGGGGCTCATTAGTTATGTTTCAGCCTAATTATAATTTACCAACCAATAACAGCTAACAAAAATTCCAATTTATTAGCCCATCTTTCTCTCACAAAAGAAGAACGCCTTCTCATTATAGCTGCAGCTGTTTGTAACATACTTGGACGACGTCCTCCTTCCCCCATATTTAATGTTGGAGGTGTTGATATTCCAACAGTTAATAAATTATTTTGTTTTATTATCATCTCCTCTTCCCCATCCTCTTTATTATTAATTAATACTTCGTTTCCAGAAGTTGGACGAATTATGCAATATTTAGAACGGGATTTTGGGAGACGAGGTAATACTTAAAAAGGGGGGAAATTTGAGAGAATTTATTCTCAAAATACATTCTGCCTGTACAGAAGTGTCTCTACATCTTTGTTGTTCTTCCTCTGCTTCAGTCTCAGTTTCAGCATCAATCGAAAGCAAAGGGGATCCAACATTACAATAAGCCCCATCATACATCGTTACTGCCCTTATTTCTTCCATTTTTTCTTCCGATTTTGGAAATAATTGCAACCCTTTAATTAAAAATATTTATTTTTTGTTGATTTTTTTAAAAGAAAAACAATTACATAATTACTTCTTATTTTTGCTAAATACCCTTTAATAATAGAATATTTAACAAAATTTTTACTTGTGTGAATTTTTGAAGTGTTACAAAATAATAAATATTTTAGAAAAATTTTTAAAAAAATAAATTAAAAATTATTGGAAATTTTAAATATTTTAAAGAATTTTTAAAATAATTAGTAATAGATATTTTATATGTGATTCATTTAAAAAAATTTTTTTGATTTTACACAATTTAAGAAATAAAAAGAATTTATAAAGTCGGACCTCATATTTTCCGTACACCCAATAATGAATATTAAAGGTAAAGATATCTGTTCTCTAATGCTAGGTATTCCCTAAGTTTAATAACGTTTTTTAGCTTTGGTTGGTCATTGGATGGAATTTCTTCTGATTAGGGTTGTCAGTTTCAAACCAAACCAAGCCGGAAAACCGGAGATTTTCTGCTCGGTTTGTCGGTTCAGTTAACAGGAGAATTTGGTGAAAACGATACCTCTACTTCTGATTATGTATTAAATTAATTATTAACCCAATCTTCTCCTTCTTTGCTGCATTCTTTTACGCAAATTCTCTTCTTTTACATTATTATCTTCATTTATTTCCTCTTCTTCCTCTTCCTTTTCCTCTTCTTCTCTTGATAAAATAACCATTTTTGTTTTAATTTTCTTTTGTTTTAAATAATCTAAAGAATATCTTTCTGTCCATAAACTATATCTTCGTTGTTTCTCTTTTTTATTAAATAATTGGAAAGAATTTAATGGTTGATGTGGGTCATCTGGAGGGGCTTCTATGTTGTCAATTTCATCTTCATTTTCTGTTTTTCTTCTATCAGCATTCATGGTCAAAGCACGTCTAAATTGTCGTTTTGTTGGTGTATTAGCTACTTGTCCAAAAGAAGATCGAGCCGAGGCTGGACGAAAGTCTATAAAAATTTAAATGAGAGAATAAAAAAAAAGATTATTTATATTCTATTATCCAATCCTCAAAAGATATTTAGGAACTGAGTTAGGATTGTCTGGGATTTTGTAGTAGTGATACTACATATAGAATCTTTGGCAGATTATTCTGAATTGTAAGGATAAGAGGGATTAATCTAGGATAGAGAGAAAAGAGTATAATTGCCTGTCCACCATAGGTGGGTTGGAACAATCCGAGGTGTCGAAAATCGGAACTGGCTCAAAAGTCGGAACTCGGAAATTAAATTTTTTATGAACTCGGAAATCGGAAGGAACTACATTAAAAAATCAAAATTTTAAAGCTTTTCTAAAAAATTATTTTCTTTGTAAATATTAAAATAATATGTATTCTTCACGCGATAAAACAATGAGAAAACCTATAGACCTTTTTCTGTCGGCATTTCTTTTGTAATAAATACATATAAATATTTATTGTTTGTTTAAAGCAAACCTATTTTTTGGCTTTTCTCGAAAATGAGTAACAACTACCCAGTACACCTTTTTTATGTTAGTTATTTTTCAATATTTGGTTGCATTTTCCCAATTATAAGAAAGAGATGCTTGAGTAAAAAATGTGTCAAAAAAGAGCACTAAAACTATATACACCTATTCATTTAAAGATATATCCTCAGAAAACCCTTGAAAATACTCGGATATTGAGAGAGGGAAAATGTATATATTAATGCAAAAACAGACAATTTCCTGAATTCCTTTAATATAATAAATATGTTGTATATTCAGGAAATTGAATGTTCTCTTTTACAAAGTAAAAGAATTTAATTATTTAAAAGAAAACGTGTGTACATCTGGAATCATGGAGGTAATTAATAGTGTTTTACTGGAACCAAAAACGCCGGAACTTTCCGGATCTGGAACTTCCAGTGAAACTCTATTAGTAATGACCCCAGCCTATTATTAGAATAATTAACAGCAACTAAACTACAATAAAAACTTTACTAACAAATAACCTATATTTTGTCAATTTTATAAAAAAAAATTTTTAACCATGTGATAAAGAAGAATTTTGATTAAATGCATAACGCTGTTTTAATTCGAAAGGCTCCCAATAACTTGAACGTCGACGAACTGATGTCCAACGCAACATTTTTTATTTATAAAAAATAATCTTCAAATTTATGATTTTTTAAATAAAGATTTAAAATTTTCTAACTTATGATCTCTATAGAAAAATATTCAAAAAAATTTTTTAGTTAAATTATTTAAATCTTTTTAAAATATTCCAAAATTTCTCTTTCAAATTTCAATTGGAAAGAGTATTTATTTATAATTTATTTTACACACTACCTATTAAAAATGATTTAAGGGGAAATTATCCAAGAAAATATGCAAGGTATAAATAATATGAAATTTAAAAAATTTAAAAATTTAGAAAAAAAATTTTAAGGAAGAAAATTATAAAATTTGAAAAATTATTTAAAATTAAAATTTATTTCCTTTATTATTTTATTTTATTTTTGGTTTAAAATTTATTTTTCAATTCAAAATTTTCGTTATTATTTTGTCTGAAAAAAAGAGCAAAATCATTCAAGCTTTTGCAATAAAAAGACTAACCATATTAAATAAAACAATTGTCTTAGTTTTTTTAATTATTTATAGGTAACAGAAAAAAGAAATTCTAAATTTGGTATTAAATTTATTGTTCAAAGAAAAGTGTACATAGGACGACAAATTAAAATTCTAGACGAATTTAATTTAAAATTTTCGGCCCGCATTTTATTTAAATTCTTAAGAATATTATGTATCTTTTAAAAATTCTCAAAAATTAGTAAATAAATACTTTTAAAAATTAAGTGAAAAAAAAAACATTTTCCGTCTGACTAATTTTTGGACATAAAATATTTTTAACTAATCTTTGTTTTAATTATAGAAAGCTTTTAAAAATTTCCTTTTTATGCTTTGTTTAATTTGTGCCACCCAATCGTGGGAATATAAATGCGCATTTTAAGGAATTTTTTAAAAAGAAATTTGGTAGACTTTTTTTACTCTCACAAATCTTCTTTTTTTATTGTTCATTTTCCCTTATTTTCTTTACAGCATTATTTTTAAAATAAAGACAAAAAGCTCAAAAAGGCGGAATTATTGAGGATTTCTTTACATGAATTTTATTTGAAAATAAATAAAAAGGGAAAATAAATTTTTGGAAGTAACAAAATTGTTTGAATTATTGTTAAATAAATTATTCTAAAATTATCAAAAAAACATAAATTTGACTGGAAATTAATTTTAAAAATTTTTTTTTCTTCAAGACAGAAATAATTTATTTTTCCTCTCCCTATATCTATAAATTTATAAAGTTTATAAATTCTTTTTATTTATTAACTTTCATTTAGACCTATTTTAAACTAACAAAAAAATATATTTTTATCTATCAATTACCCAAAGTCAAAAAATAATTTTTGAAACAAAAAGTTTAAAAATTCTCAATTGTAAAGAAACAGAATTCAATCTCTAGCGTTATTTATTATTATAACAAATAAGCAATAATATATAAAATAATTTAACTTACAAATTTATTTTTTTCTATATAAATCCTTTCATTTAATTATATTCATAATTTTTTGATTCAACGGATTATCTGCTGATTTTTGCCATTCTTTCTTTAGTAATTGCTTAAGCTGGGATAAACGGAGAGTTGGATGTTCTTCTTTAAGTCTTGGAAGGCGATTCTCTTCAAAAGTAGCATAGGCAGCTTTTAGACGTTTTTCTGGATGTTGATCCTAATTAAAATAATTTTGAAACATAGGCTAAAAAATTAAAAAATAATTTCGAACTTGAACAATCGAAGATGAAGCACCATCAACAGATCCTCTTAAAACTCGGATTGCTTCGTCGACATTTGTTGCAGAATCTCCCTCAATTTGAAGTCGATTAACGTTCTCTACTAATTCTGGTTGTTCAGAAATAATTTTTTGTTGTTCCAATAAACGTTTCTGTTCCAATTCTTTCTTTTCCAATTCCTAATAAATTAAAAGTATTTTAAAGAAAAACTCTTTAATCTTAAAAAACCTCTCGCTCTTTTTCCCTTTCAATTTGTGCTTGAGTTACTTTGGCAGGTGTCGAGAATTTAGCTGTGCTAGACTTCGAAACTTCTGCCAACTTTGTCATTTCTTGTTCATAGGCCTTTTGATTTTCTACTTTTCTATCCAATTGTTGTTGACGCTTTTGTTCTTGATCATTCTGAAAAATTAAATAAATTTGTGATCTTAGGAATAAAAAAATACTCCAAGCAGAAATTAAATATTTTGTATTCTGAAGCCCTCTAGCCTAATACCAATTACCACTTGAAGTCTTAATTTAAAATAGAAGTAACCTTTCTCTGCATTTTCCGCTGAACGTGTTTATTATCATCCGCCCACAAAGCATCCTCCCTTTCTCTATCTTGTCGTTCTTTTTCCGCCGCCTTAGCATCAGCTTTCCGAGCCTTCGAAGCTGCAGCCTTCGTATTCTCACCTTGAAACTTCTTTGGCATTTGCTGAAAACTTTTTATAAAATCACTAAAACTAAAAAAAATTTAATAAAAATTATTAAAATAATTTTGTTAAACAATTAAAACAACTCAATAAAATAAAAAAATCCGATAAATTGCAAATTTTATTTCAGGAGATCAAAAAATTTAGCAAAAAATATTGTAATTGCGTAGAATAAAATTGAATCAAAAATCGAAAAAATCAAGGAAAAGAAGTTAAAAAAGAAAGTCAGTTATGGGAGAAACATCAAAAATATTGAATATTCGCGTATTCGAAATGAGGTGTTGGAATAATATTGAGGTTCTAGTCATTATTGCTAGTCATTCTTTTAATGTAGGCTTCCTAAAAAAGCTTTTTTAAATAAAAAGTTAAAAATATTCTTACTTTAATTTGTAATTTCTTGACAAGAGATCTCCATGTAGAATAATCAAAATTACTTATAACTTGAACAGTCTCCAATTGGCTACGTTGCATAGTAGCTGCGCGTTCAGCATGAGAAGCTTTCACTGAATTAAAAATAATGTAGTAACGATAAAAATAAGAGAATCAACTAAGTCCAGATAACTAATCTACACATAACAAAAAAGTTTCAAACCAATTTTTGGGCACCCAGTTGTTTTATCCATTTTCAAGCCAATTTTTCCATCTTTAACCAGAAAAGACATATAAAACATGTTTTCTATAGTCTCGCCAAAGCTTTTAGGATTTAAAACAAATTTGTAGTAATCCAATTCATTTGAACGTTGTGATTTGTAAAAGGCACGAAGTTGTCGACTAACATTATCCAACTCTTTGGAAACAGAAAACTCTGTGGCCGCTGTCTCCTTTTGAAGTTGATGTAACTTAAATTTTTAATATTATAGATTATAAAAATTTAAATTAAATATAAAAACCGTTTTAGACTTTATCTCTCGTTTAACAGGTCGAGTATAAGGCACTTTCTTAATCTCACGCTTTCCAGGAAGTTGAGGTGAATTTTTTGTTTCAATACAAGGACGCCTTAAATAAATGAGATTAATATTGAAGTTTTAGCCGAAAATAACTTAAACTCACAGAAAATAAAAATCTGGTATTTCACGTAGTAAGCTGGTTGAACGTCTTCCGAGGCTGATAAATGAATGCTCAGTTTGATAACGTTGAGGAAATCGGTTCAAAGCGAATTTTTCCTTAAAACGAGTTAAAAAATTTAGATTTATAATAATTCTAGACTTACAATACGAGCGATGAAAATATCCGGATCCATTGTCTTTGCAGTCTCGCCGCGCAATTTATCAAGTTCAGTTGTTGATAATTGAATAAGTTGTTGAAGTACTTGAGCATCAGCTTTGATTGTTCTGAGGCTTTCGACCTTAAAATATATTTGATTATAGTAAATTAGAATAATTGCCTAATTAAGACATTTGCTAAAATTAAAAAACTGAAATCAAAAACCAAAATTGTCGATAACAAAAAATATTTATGTGGGTAATAAATTTCAAACCTCTCCCAAGTCCTCTCCTTGTTCTTTGACTTGTATATAAATTTCATCAATTCGGTCTTCGGAAAGTAACCCCTGATCAGCACGTCTTTGTTCATCTAAACTTGAAATTATTTGTAAGATGATAAGAAAAAAACCTCTCATTCTTGTTTGAAATTCATAAGTAGTTTTTCGTCTTTTTATTTCGCTTTGAGATAAACTAATTAGACTTCTACTTGTCGTTCTTGAGCTTGTTTGACTATTTTGGCTTGTACTCGGCTGCCCCTCGTTACGAAAACCATTCTCCATCGATTATGAAGGAAATGAAAGACTGAATAAAGTAAAATTTTTAAAAACAATTTGAATTGTTCAAAAATCTAGAAAGTGATAGGATTGGGTTTTCAACGAAATAACAATTACCCCGGAGTTAAAGAAATTTCTGAAAAATGCCGCTTAATAAATTTAAATATTTTGGCATAACGTCTTCAGAAAAAATTTTTGGACTAAATTAGTGAACGACATATCGACTTTTTCTTAAGGAAAAAAAGTCGTTTTAAAAAAATCTACAATTATTCGCGAACGACTTTTTTTTAAACACACAACGCCAGAACTACGTAAATATCGATGTTTTGCGCCAAACGATTGCGAAACGACTTTTTTGTGTCTCTTTTTCTCTAATTTCACATTATATTTCCTTTCTCTTTTTCTATTAATTTTCGTTCGTGTAGTCTCTCCTTTGGAATTTGCAATTTTCCATTTTTATAAATGTTCAGTCCCTTTTCTGTAATTTTTAGGGATTTTTCCACATATATTCTTACTAGATGGATGAATTTGAAAACGAATTAAGAGTCGTATTCGAAAGCGGCGATCTCGAAGAACCTGTGACACCGTCATCGAAACGTCGAAAATCCGATATCCTTAAGGGATTAGATCTAGGAAGTCCGAAGAGTAGGCGATCATGGAATGAAAGTAAAATATTTGGAAGGTATACGTAAAAAATTTCAATAAATTGTATTTGTTATTTTAAGCCATTTCGATTGCGTCATAGACGATAAAGAAAATCTGACCAATCTTGTAGTTTGTAAACAGTGTTATGCGACATTCAATTACACGGGTACACATAATCTGAGGTTTTTTTACTATTTGATCTAAATTCTATTTCTTTAATTTTATTTTTTAAGAAATCATATCGAATTAAAACACGGAGTTCAGTTACCAGCTAAGGAAAAACAAAAGATGATGGAGGATGCCCTTGTTGAATTCTGCGTTACTGATGCAAGGCCGTTCTCTTTAATTAACGGAAAAGGATTTATTAGTTTCCTAGATGCTTATTCTGAATTGATGTAAGTTTCGCGAAATGAATATTATTAATTTAATTTATAGAATTGACAGACACTTAAAAAACCAAACTACAACGTCCAGCCTCATCTTACCTAATGAAAAAACTATAAGTCGAAAGGTGTTCGAGGTGCTAAAATCTAAGCAACCAGAACTTAATTCTATTTTTGATGAAATGAGCGAATCTGGGTTTTCTATTTCGCTCGATTTTTCTCAGAAGTTGGGCACTGATTATTGCGTCATGGTGGCACACTGAAACGGTTTTTATTTAGATTTTAATATTGACTTATTAAATTTTAGATACAAAAAGCCGTTAGAAATGTTGCAAAACAAAACTTTCCGGAATGTTTACGCCCACACGTGGAAAACGGTTTTTATTTAATCCAGAATAAGTTTAATAGAAAATTTAGTTTCACCAAGTCTAGTTACCTTTGGTCAAAATGCAATGAGGACTGAGATAGATTTTGAGATGGAACAGTATGAAACTGCATGTAAGAATTTGGGAGGGCATAAGCTAGATTTACTTAAATTTTGGAAAGAAAATTCAATGAAAATTCCACACCTTTCATCCATTTCTAAGCATTTTTTAGCAATTCCTTCTTCTTCTACTTCTTGTGAACGTATATTTTCCCGATTTTCTCCTTTAGTATATGATTATAAACGAAATCGTTTTGACCCACATACTATTTCTACACTTATTTCATTACAATCATTATTTAAAGATGAATAAAATTTTGTTGTTTTATTTTTTTAAACTTTAACAAACGAAAACCTAACAAAAATTCCAATGGAGAGACAACGACATAGAAAATTAATAGAAAAAGAGAAAGGAAATATAATGTGAAATTAGAGAAAAAGAGACACAAAAAAGTCGTTTCGCAATCGTTTGGCGTAAAACATCGATATTTACGTAGTTCTGGCGTTTTGTATTAAAAAAAAGTCGTTCGCGAATAAAAGTAGTTATTCGCCGCGAATCGACGAAAACGTAGATATGTCGTTCACTAGACTAAATGTCTGTTTTTGTATAATAGAGTCTAGGACATTTTACTTGAGTATCGGGTATCTTGTTGATATTATCAGCGTTATTTTGTTTTGTCAGTGCGTAGGTTTAAGCTATTTGTGTTTTTAAACTTTTATTATCACTTTGAGATTAAATTCTTTTTTTTAAAGATTTAAAGTTTAAAATGAATTTTATTAGACGGCTTCGTGTACCTCGATTGAATGATGTTTGTTATTTAATTTATTCTAATAATTTAAAAATTTTAAGAAGGGAAAATGGGTTGTCTGTGTTGCTGGCGGTGTGTTTACTTGTGGTTTCGCGTATGCCTTAGAACATACTGCTGACGCTTCTGATTTTGTTGTACATCCTTTTCAATTACCATGGTCCCATGGTGGTTTAATCGATTCTTTGGATATGGCATCGTCATTTATTTTTTAAAATAAATTCTATTAATTTTTAAAATTTACAGCGTTCGACGTGGTTATGAAGTTTACAAACAAGTTGGTCTAGATAATTCTTTTTTTCATAAATTCAAATTATCATTTTAAGGTTTGTGCTGCTTGTCATAGCATGCAATACATTCGTTATCGACATTTTGTTAATAATTTCATGTCAGAGGATGAAGCAAAGGCTGAGGCTGCCGAAATTGAAGTTGATTTTATTGATGACAAAGGTGTCCCAGCAAAACGTCCTGGACTTTTGAATGACTTTCTTCCGTCACCATATCCAAACAAACAGGCCGCTGAGGCTGCTAATAATGGGGCAGAGCCTCCGGATTTGTCATTGATGGGATGGGCTCGAGATGATGGAGATAACTATGTCTTCCATTTGCTTACTGGGTTTACAATTTAATTTTTAATATAGTCAAAAAGAGATCCCCCTCAAAAATTTTTCATGTTTAAGTGCTTAATACGTTTTCAAGTTACGTTAATTTTATTATTCAGTTATGGATTTGACCCGCCTGAGGGAGTTCTTTGTGAGGAGGGAAAAGCTTATAATCCATATTTCCCGAATGGAAGTGTACTGGCAATGCCACAACAATTATTTGATGAAGGAATTGAATACAAAGATGGAACGCCGGCAACAATGAGTCAGCAAGCAAAGGATGTTGTGACGGTTTGTTTTGGATAATTACTTTGTCAAAAAAAATTTTTTTAGTATTTACGCTGGGCCTGTGAGCAATGGCATGACAAGCGAAAGCAGTATGCCATAAAGGTTTATTTTTGGCTAAATTCCTAAAAATCTTTCCTTTCCTTTAGTTGGCACTTCTGATACCGTTTGTGTCATTTGTATTAGTTTATTGGAAGCGAAAAGTTTGGACTCAGATTAAGTCTGAGAAATGGTTCCATCGAACAGTTAAAGGTCGTGAATGGACACCTGATTCAAAATTCCCGCCGCCGCCTAAGGATGCTCCTTCATTGAAGAGATTGAATTAAATTTAAGAAAATTTTGAGGGAATATTTTAGGATAAATAGAAAATGTTTTCTTGTAATTTGTTATGTTACGGACTGCAAATTATATTTTAAGTATATGTTTGTGGTTGTCGGTTGGTGAATAAAAATGTAAAAAATACATATTTTTTAACAAATTCTAGGGAAAAATTGAGGAGGAATTTTAGGGAAAATCTTGTGTTTATCGTTTAGATATTTTATCTTCTGATTTTTCATATTTTAAAACATCTTATGTATTCTTTATTTCCTTATATTTTTCAATGCGGTGGAAGGTAATGAGAATCGACCCTATCTGAAAGGAGTGCCTGGTTGAGTTTTTTCCTTATTTCCTTAGACAGCTTCGGAGTGGTTAATTTTCCTTTATATTTTATGTTTGTCGTAAGGCAAAATGTGTATCCATTTCTCCGCTGATTTTGTTTTTTATACATTTTATTTTTATTTTTCAAAAAAATTCTGTTTATTTCACCTAAAATGGCTAGGAAAAAATACAAATATTGGTGATCCTAATCGTGGCAGTCTAAAACACGGATATAATGGAGGGTATTCAAGTCTCGCCTCGTGACGTCTAAATCTTGGCCAGTGGGGACAATTTTGTCCTTTCCATAATTAATCGCGCTAATTATGTTTGTTGCTTTTTTAATTAAAATTAGTATTACTTTTAGCGCCTGGGATACAAAATTATCTCAAACAACAGTCAATACTATCGCGCTGGACCTGCTAACGGTATTGCACGCGCGAATACTACAACTCTGATCGAGGTTCAACGTCTGGTTAGTTCAGATTATTTTTCTTATAATTTTATATTGATTTAGCCAGGTCCTATTTCCACCGACAAAATTTTTGTTGAATTAGTAAAGACGGAACTTACTTCAAGTCAAGCCGACCCAAGAACTATAATTCCAACCAAAGAGAGGGGCGAGTTCAATGTTCAAGTCAATGTGAGTGCTGTGGAAAGCACCGAAGCCAACTTACCTGCGACAACATCAGCTAGTGCCTAAGATGAATAAGAAATGTGGAGATTTTTAGGAAATATTTTAGGATAAATAGATATATAAATATAAATAGATATATAAATATATTTATCCTAAAATATTTCCTAAAAATATCCACATTTCTTATTCATCTTAGGCACTAGCTGATGTTGTCGCAGGTAAGTTGGCTTCGGTGCTTTCCACAGCACTCACATTGACTTGAACATTGAACTCGCCCCTCTCTTTGGTTGGAATTATAGTTCTTGGGTCGGCTTGACTTGAAGTAAGTTCCGTCTTTACTAATTCAACAAAAATTTTGTCGGTGGAGATAGGACCTGGCTAAATCAATATAAAATTATAAGAAAAATAATCTGAACTAACCAGACGTTGAACCTCGATGAGTTGTAGTATTCGCGCGTGCAATACCGTTAGCAGGTCCAGCGCGATAGTATTGACTGTTGTTTGAGGTAATTTTGTATCCCAGGCGCTAAAAGTAATACTAATTTTAATTAAAAAAGCAACAAACATAATTAGCGCGATTAATTATGGAAAGGACAAAATTGTCCCCACTGGCCAAGATTTGGACGTCACGAGGCGAGTATAATACTTAATGGAATTTATTTAAAATTATATAACACTATGGATTAGTTTAAAAGGTCATCATCACAATTATCACTTTTTCAAATCAAACCTCTTCTCGGTTTTTCATTACTTCTTTCCATTGCATTCCTAACTCTCAACCTTGCCAAGGCGAAGGAAATTTGGTGACTCAACGGAATATCCATTAGTGCAGTAGTTTCTCGCGCGGGAACACTATATCCGATTGCCTCCAAAATTTTCTCTTGAAAGAGTTTATGGGATCTAAAATTATTTAAAATTTTAATAGGAATTTTAAATAGAAATTTATTTATTCCTCAATACAATTTTTTTAATTTTTTGTTTCGAGCTTTAATCGGTTTTTTTGTTGAGGAATTCATTGTAATACTCTAAGCTTACCCCAAATAAGCTCCAACATGTCCAGTACCCGGAATACAACTAACAGAAACTCCAGGCCATAGATCACTAATATCTGGGATATAACTACTTCGTGGCACATATGCATCGTCCTCCGCAACCACAACACGAATAGAATCAGTATTGATGGGTGCTGGGTAATTAGCTAAGTTTGTGAAGGCATCCATTAATATCCACATTAGTCGATGGGCTCGTGATTTTGGGAAGAGTTTATACGCAGGATGAGTTTGATCTTCCTAAAATGGTATAAAGAAAATGGGAATTTTGGGGAAAAAAGAAAATAAGACCACCTACCCAAAATTAATTACTCTTGCTTTCTAAATAAAATACCGAAAATTAGCCTCATAATTCCACAAATAGAATTGTTTTAAAATTAAAAAATGCCCACCATCATTGTAAGCCAACCACAGTCACAGAGAACCTTCTCCAATTCTTTATTTGTTTCTAATTCATCGCTCAATTCCTTCCATCCAATAGCTTCAGCTAAAGCGCCCTGTGTGAAAACTGGGGATGCTGAAGTCCAAGAAAGAAGAGGGATGAGAGAAATTGGTTTATCTCGAATATTTGTGACAGCAAGTGAGGCCATATGACCACCCATTGATACACCTAAATTTTAGAATATTCAAATATTTTATGTACTTTTGGTGTAATTAAAATACATTTACAGAGGCTTTAGACATAATTTTAAGTTAAAAAATTAAAAAAATATATACCAGAAATTCCAATTGGTGAAAATCCTTGTTCACGTGCCCAACGTGTAAGGAAACAACACTCGAGAATTAAACTTCCACCCATTACAAATAAATCAGAGACATTAAGGAGGGATGAACGAAATTGGTCTATAAAAGAAATTAAATAGAAAATATAGTTTAAAGTTTAAATTTATTATATTCAAAAATTAACCTAACGGAAAACATGGGGAAAGTAAATAAAAGTTTAAGAGTCCCAAATTAAAATTTCCAAAAAACATATTGAGTAAGAGACAAAAATTCCAAATTTCCAAAGGAAAATTATTTTCTAATTATAACCCCTCTATATCTTTTAAATAAAATTTAAAATAAACACAAAACTGCTTGGCTTTCTTTCTCCATAAAATGGATTTTGAAGAAGAATTGAAGAGACACCAAGTGCCAAGAGAGGTTTAACAAATCCATTATATCTTCGCCAATAAGTGTCATCACCAGTTGGGGCCAAATGAATTCTAAAAAAAATTCTCATAAATTAAATAACAAAAGCCAACAAACATTAGCCCATTACGTTTTCGATTAGGTCCAGGAAAGTATCCTCTCCAAAAGGCACGAGAAACATTTTGGCCAGACTCGAAGAAACGGGAAGAAATGTCATTCATTGGACTGATGAACCAACCCTGTTGAATTTGTATTCCATTTCGAACTTGGTCCTTTTAAAAGAAAGATTTTTTGTCTAATTATTAGAAAAGATTAATTTATTAAATTTAGAGATAGGAAATTAAAAAAAAATTTTAACTTGATTGAAGACCTTGATCAAATTCTTGACCTTGAGTCAAGAAAAATCAAGATCTAGATTGAGAACCAGGACGATCTCCAATTAAATATATTTAAGGCTAAATAGTTTAAGGTACTCTAACAATGTTACTCTAATGTTATACTTACATTTTCAATAAACATTTTAGGTAGATTTCGCTCAACTAACTCCAATGCTCTTCCATTAAATGCATAATCACATGAATGTTGATATAATCTAAAATTTGTTTCACAATTTTTTTAAATTTAAATATTTACATTTTCAAAATTTCAGGCGAACTAGCCCAAGATTTTTTGAACATTTTGCTGAAGATAAGTGTCTGTCTGAATAATATGTCCAACTGGCTTCTGTTTGAAGGCAATGATAGTGAAGCAGACATTTCTTTGCATTTAATTGGCAGCAAAAAATTGAGTGAAAATTGTGAAATAAAAAATCAACCAAAAATTGTTTTAGCAAGTTCTTCTGAGAATAGATTAGCTTTACTGAAACAAATAGTGAGTTTAAAAATTATTTACAAAAAAAATAAATTCGAAAATAAAACAGGAAACAAAATAAAGAAAAGTGACATGCCCAAAACGGCGCGCGGCCATAACGGCGCAAAGCCATAACTTGCTTCAAGATTTCCTAATCTTTCCAAATTTAGTTTCAAACGATTCCTCTCATCGAGCTAGCGAGATTGGTACCAAAATTGATAAAGGCCAGACATCTTCCAGCAAGTTCTGACTTTGCGCCGTTATGGCCGCGCGCCGTTTTGGGCTGTATCCTAAAGAAAAAAATTTTTAATTAAAAACACAATGCCAAAAATATCCTATATTAAATTTTTTAAATTTTAATGGAAATTTTTAATGAGAGTAACGAAAAATAAAACACGTGTTTTCAAATATTAAATTAAAACATTCAATAAACAGACGAATTTAAAAAAATAAAAAAAGCATATGGACGTTTAAAGCACGTGAGGGTAATGCAAACACTGAAAAGAGAAATGTGACTTAAATGAGTTGTTTTTATTATTTCTTTTATTAGGGTATAACCCCATTTTTGGTTCGTCCTTCAACATATGCAGAAGATTTACCCCGTTCTCTAAATATTAAAGAATTTGTAGAGGAGACGGCAAAACAAAAAGCTGAACAAGTTGTGGGGGAATTAATAAATGAGAAAGTAAGAGAATTAATTTAGAGAATTTATGGTAATTCTTCGGCTGACGCCCCCTTTTTATGTTCTATTTTTTATGAAATTATGAATTTTTTATATACATTCGAAAGAGCTCTTCGAACTGATTCGAAACATCACTAAAGTAATCGAAATCCGACTTAAATCAGCATAGTTATGAGCATTTGTTTTAATCCCTTTCAACATCACAAAAAGTATGTCCACAGAGGATTTAGCTTCATAATTTTGCTCCGATCATAGTATGAATCTACTTCGCTCGGATAGCTCTTTCGAATGATATATAAATTATACATGTGTCAAGCAAAAAAGCTAAAAATGGTCAGAGAAACATAAAAAAGCAGGTTGGGGCGTTAGCCGAATATTTACCGAATTTATGGGAAAAAAATAATTATTAAAAAATTAATTTAAAAAACCATAAACTTTACTTAGATCGAGTTTGATTTACTCATTGCTTGTGATACAATGATTTCAATAGAGGGTAAATTAATTGGAAAACCTTTAAACAATAATGATGCCTTTAATATTTTAAAATCCCTTGATGGACGTAAACACCAAGTTCGGACAGGAATATGTTTAATAAACAAAAAGGGGAAAAAGATTGTGTTTAGTGTTGAAACTGAGGTAGAATTTGGAAGAAATGGAGATAAATTAATTTGGAATTATATTAATACTGGAGAAGCAATGTTTTTATTTTTTTAAACAAAAATAATTTAAAAATTAAAAGGAATCGTGCAGGAGCTTATGCAATTCAAGGCAAAGGGGCTGTCTTAATTAAAGCTGTTTATGGTAGTTATACAAATGTTGTTGGAATACCTTTAAATGAACTTATTGAAAAAATTAAAGAAATTCTTTATAAATAATTTATATTTTTTATAAAATTTGTTATCTAATTTTTATTGAAAAAATTAAATTTAAATTTTTTTTTAATTTTATTGTTTTATTTTTGATGTTTGTTTGCCTTAAATACATATTTATATACTGAATATTAGAAAGAAATTTATGTTGTAAATGATTTTTGATCATGTTTCTGGACAACTAATTTGATTGTCAGTAGAATTTGATTGTCAGCAAATGTAGAGGAAAAATATTTAGGGGGAGTATAATGACAGAAAAATCGAAAAATTTATGTGCGAGTATACTTTTGAAACAGTGTAGGAGAACTATTTTTCAACCCTCCTTCAAAGAGGAGTATTATTTAAGGGGGAGTACTAATTTAGTGGGAAGTACTATTTTAGGAAATACGGTATTTCATTAAAATCCCTTTTTTTTCATTAATATTTTTTTGTAAATCACAAACATAAATTTTAAAACAAAAAAATAATTATTTTAATTATCATTAACAATTATTAAATCATTCCTATTTCCTTTCTTCCAAAGTAAAAATATTTTTCTTTCAAACGCTGTCAGTCTTTGTTTTCGGTTTTCTGTAAATAATATTGGCATACCCAGCTTGAATTTTCTTTGACCCATTTCTTTCTCTCTCTTTCCTTTTCCAGTCAGTTCTCGTGAATGCTTGACTTGACTAATTAGCGCTAACTTGCGGATTTAATTAGAAACAAATTTTTTATTTTGCGGAAATACTAACATAAATATAAAAATAAATATTAAAATTAAAAATTTTTTTATTAAAAACCCTCCAAATTTTTATTTAAAAATAATTTTTTAAAATATTATTTGCCAGAATTCTCCCTTAATTTATTTTTATAATTAATTAATTATTCCCCCTATTTATTACAAAATATCCGCAAAATTTTAGCATAATTTTTTAATCATTTTCTTTATTTATTTGCGCGGACCGCCAAGTAAAAATGAAAGGATTTACTGGAAAATAAAAATTCTTTTATTTATTTTATCACATTATTTGGTGTTAGCCATTGCATGATGATGTTAATTGTAGCAGTCATTTTAATTAATTTTTATAATCTTTTTTTATAATAAAGAGGTCAGTGAAAGGCAACAATTAATTTTAGCTTTTTACAGAAAATATAAATTTATTATTAACTATTTTTATTTTTTTTTAATATTTTTATTTAACTTGATTATAAATTCCTTTTAAGGGAGGTTTTGTGCGAATTACGATTTTTGTTTTAGACATTTTTCTTCTTCTAATTTCCGGCACCCTCGTCATTTACGAACTATCCCTGCCTTCTAGTTACTTCTTTGTCTTGCAGATACATATGTGCTATGTAGTACTTTTGAATTGTTTTTAGACACACGTTTATTTGGTCAGATGTTTTGAATATTTTTCGATGATAAAATATTACTCCTTCATTTTTATTTTTTTAAATTTATTCTTCATATATTTTGTATATCGCGCATCCTCTAAAAAATAAATTAGTTTAGTTTTAAGGTTGTTTCAACTTTTTAGGCAAATACTTTCATAATCCAAAGATGACCACACGTTTCTTTGGCAAGTACCCTTGTAAATTAATAAAAAATAAATAAAATTATTATTGACCTTCGCGCAGCGGCTAATATTTGTTTTTATTTTTTCTTACTTTTTTCTCTCCTCTATTTCTAATTATCCTCAGAACTCAAAAAGAAATAAAATAACCGCCAACAAATAACCGCTTTTATTATCCCAAACAAACAAATAAAAAATATTTTTACAAAATTATTTTTTTTTGATTCTGAGAAATACTCCAAAAACTAATTTTTATATTATTTAATTTTTTCAATAATAATTAATAAAACAATTTTATCCCAAAAAAAACTTTGGAAAATATTTTTGTTATTCTTCTGATATTTTTAAATAAAATACTTTTATCCAATTATTGTCAACTTTATGGTCTGGGCTAATAAGGTTGTCAGATAGTTGGAAATCTTCGGATATCTGGATCCGGATTCGGTATCCGAACCGAAAATTTCCGGATATCCGGCCTTTTTTCGATCCGTATATCCGGATCCAACATCTTTATTGCCTAAACGAACTCATCAAATTGTATTTTTGTGAACCTCTCTTTTAAACTTTTCTTTATTAGCGACTTTTTTCCAATACCTTTTTTAATCGAGATTATTTATTATTAGAACATTCTTGTTAGGAGTTTATATATTTTTTAAATTCGTGACAACCATAAATATTTATTTAAATATTTATAAGTACAACATTCATAAATATATTTATTTCTTTCTTATTTTTTATCGGCATTCTCTCCTTTTCGGTAAAATATTTTTGAACGGATTTTTCTTTTTACCTGTTTTCTTAAAAATATTTTTTTCCTTTCTTTCCTATTTAATAATACTTTCACCTAACTTTTCATTCAAAATCCAATTTTGTTTTTAAGATTGGAAGCAGACCTGGGCGAAACTCCAAATTTTTTTCGGACGAAACGAAACAAAAATTTTTAAAAATCGTTTCGTTAACAAAACGAAACGAAACAGTCAAAATTTAACGAAACGAAACGAAACAAAACGAAACATTTTAATTTCGAAAAAAATCTCAAAAATCTGGATTATTTTATTAACTACACAATTTTAAGCATGTTAATTGGCCAATTATGACATATAAGTGATCGTAAAATTATGTGGACCATAAATTGTGGTCCCATTAGCCAATTTTTCTCTAAATCTCACCTAAATCTAGAGTTCAGCGGTATCGTGATTTATAGAAAAACCGGGATCTGGATTTTGGAATGGTAATACCGATCCCGACACAGGATCGGGATTGGTCGAAATTGTCGCATTACCAAAAGAGTAATTGATTATTAAGCCAAGGTCCTTCCCTCCAAAATATGCAAAAAAATTAATCTGCGGATACTCCCATTAGGGCTCTAAAGATAATTAAAAAGGGGGTCAACTCTGTACCCCTCATTAGCTCCGTTAATCCCACAGATCGACTGATTAAACTTGTAAAGAGATAAAAGCAAAAAATGGTTTTGATCAAAAGTTTGTAAGCCTTCATGGTCAATAGGTCATCAGTGTGAGGTTTACGAGGGGGTCCTTTCTCATCGCTGCAGGCGAAAATAGGTCCTTAAGCCAGATTTCTTCCATTTTCTGCGCTGCAGGCGAAAATTTTGAGAAGTTTGAAGGCTAAGAAGCCAGATTTCTTCCTTTTTCAGCGCCGAGGCGAAAATTTTTTGAATTTTTATCACCAAAGGGGAATTTTTTTAGTTTTGGGGGTATATTTTGGCTTAAAAAATAGGTAATGTTTCGCTAACGAAACACAGGTGTTTCGTTAACAAAACGAAACGAAACAAATTAAAAAGTGTTTCGTCACGAAACGAGACGAAACAGAAAAAAACATAACGAAACTAACGAAACAACGAAACGAAACGAAACGTTTCGCCCACGTCTGATTGGAAGGATAAAATTAAATAAATATATTTACAATATATTAGACAACCGTTTGTAATATGTAGTTTTAACAAATTCAATCTTTTATATATCCGTTTGCGCTAAAATTAAATGAAGAAAAGAATTTAAGTAAAAGTAAATTGTGCTTGCTGATTTTTACCTTTTTTAGATTAAAAATATATTTTATTTACAAAATATGTTATTAATTTTTAAATAAAATTAATAACATTTTATTTTTATATTTTTACAAAACAATTATTTGACTTTATTAGCTAATAATTAATAAAATAATTTCTAAAAATTAATCTTCTTTATTGCTTAATTTTAATAAAATGCCTTTATTGCTTTAATTCATTTATGTAACTTTTACATTATTACATTAATAGTTTTTTTTGTAACAATTAACACCCTCTTATTAATTGGCATAATTTTATTTGTCTTCAATCATAAATTGTTTTTATTTATTGCGATAAACTAAAGCAACAATAAATTATTGAAAACAGCAAATATATGTAGATCAAAACATACACACAAATTCCTTAACAAAATTCTTTTATATTTAATTTATTATTTTGGTTTGGTGATATGGAAAATGCGCTAATGATCAATGCTGTTACTTTGGATTACTTAATATATTTTTTGTTATTGATTTATCTCGCGCAATTTTATCATTAATATATCCTGGATTTTAAAAGAAATATTTAACTGAAAAACGTAATTTCCGCTATGATTAAACATCTAATGAATAATTTAGTGTTGTTATCTGTTTTTTTTATTATACACATCTATCAGTTATTTTTTAAAGATTTTCTTGTCCTCCATTAGTTTCAGTTTACAATATTTTGATAATAATTTGAGTAACAAAGAATCTGGTAAATTTAAAATATTTATTTGTATTAATTTAGAAAATAAAAATGCTCAAAATTATTTCATCTCTTACCCTTCTATATTATTAATAATGTTTTGCTTCATTTACTTCATTCACTTCTTAATATTGCCTTCATTGTCCTATGCTAACGAAGAAGGATTATTAACAAGGCAGAATTATCAAACCGAAAGAGTTTGCCATTTCCCGGAAAGTGAAGAACGTCCATTCTTCATTGATATACCTTCAGGACCTCCCCCACGTTCAATTTTGTTGGACACAGTTGTAGAGCCACCAGATGCCAAGTTAGAAATTGCGAATGTTCGTTCTAACAATTTGGCTCAGGTTATTAAATATTTCCTTCAAAACCCCTCAAAAATATTTTAGGAACAAATACATGACTGGCTCTCATTAGAAAAAAGACCAAACGGTCAATTCCTCTTATTTAGCAACGACATTATATCCCAAACTTCTTCAACAACCACTTCTGTTAATTCTTCACTTAAATTACCCGCATATCCCTCATCAATTAATGAATCTTTATTATACATCACTGTTAGGTGTAATGGACGTCTTTATCCATTGCTTACAGTCCGATTACTTACACACAATTTGCATGCTCCCGAATGGTGGATACATGGAATTCGAGTTGCTGAGGATAGTATAGCGGGGGAAATTAGCATTCCAAAGGTTGGAAAAATAAAGGGAATTATCAAAAATTCTCTTTTTTAAAATTAGAACTCAAAAACTTTTGGCTCATTATTTGATACTCAATTATTAGCACTTGATCAAGAACCCGCTGAACATTATCCGATTACTTTTAGTGTGGTAAAATAATTATTTATTTATCAAAAATTTCTTATTTTAAAAAGGACCCTCCATTAAATAAATATTTTTCAATTGAATTGGGTAATCGTTCTTCCTTGCCAATTAATGAACAAGTTAACTTTCTTTCTACTTTACATTTTCCCTATTCTAATCGAATAGAGGATTGGCATGAACAACAATTACCTCCACAAATATTACTTAAATTATTAGATGAGGATATTATTTTTAATGAAAAAGAACAATTAATTATTAATATTACAGCAACTGTTAGTTATTTTATTTATTGGAAAAATTAAATATTAAAAAATAATTTTAAAGGATAATGGAATACCAGAAGAACGTAAAAGTCGAATAAAATTACGTTTTCTTTTAATATCTGAAGAACAAGAAAAAACAAATAATGTAATAGAAAATGGGAAATTTAGTAAATCTGTGTATTATGGAAATTTTACTAAAGTAAGTGGAGAAGGAGATTTGAGGATATTAATGATTAATTTAAATTTTGAAAATTTATATAAATAAAATTAAAAATATTTTTGGAAATTTTTTTAAAAATCAAAAAAATATATTTAGAGGAGCTACATATAATTATTAAAAATAAATTTTTTATTAAAATTTTAGGAAATGAGATCTGGCACAGAAATACTTCCATCAGAACCAATAAATGCCAATTTCCCCCTTCAAAGGGCTGGTGACAGAATTATTTATGATTTAGATATTTCTTCTAATCCCTATGCTGCACTTTTTCAAATAGAACGAGATTCTGGGCGTATAAGACTTGTAGAGCAATTACCAGAACAGCCTCCACAGAATATTGAAATGGATATTTTGGTTAAAAATAAGAGAGAAATATTTTTATAATTATTTATTTTCAGGCCACTCTTTTACCAAAAAATTCGAGTAATAATCGCCAAGTTATTCGAACAAAATTAATTTTAACTGACAGAACAGAAATTAAATTAACTTATTTTACTCAATGTCATTATTTAGTACATTTAGCTGAAAATCCTAGTGCTTTTACAAGAATATTACAATTTAATTTTAAAGGAGATGTTTGTTGTTATTTTTAAATAAATAATTAATTTAAATTTACTTTTAAAGGTTGAAGGGGTAGAATTACTTAATGGAACTGAATTATTTAAAGTTGACCCTTATGGGTTAGTTAGTGTATTGCCTGGTGTTGATATTGATAGAGAACGTACTGAAAGGATTGTAATTAAGGCTAAATTGAAAGTAAGAAATAATTTGAAAAAATAAATTCTTTAAAGATTTAGATTGATATTCAATCAAAACTCATTTTTAGATACCCTTTAGCGCTGAAAAAAATTTTAAATTGGGGGATATCTTTTAGGCAGCCTTACTCTCACCCTGTTCAACTACTTGTACCTAAATTAACTTATCTTAAATTACGGATTCCCTAATTCTGTGGGAGTATCTAAAAATGTTTATCGGCTTATTAACTTTTTTCCTCTTCACATTTCTCTTCAATTTTTAACAAAATATCAGGTTAATAAATCATCTCTACATCCAAAATCTTTGGAATTATGCCAAATTGCTACAGCAGAGATTTTAATAGACGATGTTTGTTTTTCTTTATTAAAAAATTTTTTTGTAAAAATATTTTTAACAAAACAATAAGACAATTTAAAACAGATTAATGGGTAATAAAATATTATTTTAAAATTTAGGTTAATGATCACAGCCCTAAATTCACTCAAAAAGTATATCGATTCCGAATTGACCCATTTCCTTACAACAATACCGAAGTTGGCTCATTACGAGCTGTTGATGGAGACGCTGAAGAATTTGGCCACCTTCGATATCGAATACTTGATGAATTTGTTCCTGATGGACATGGAGGGGAAGAACCCCTTCCTTTTGTTTTATTTCAGGTATTTTGCATTTAAATTATGGTACTCCTCACAAATAATGAGATAAAATTATAAAAATTATTTTTAAGGCTGATGGTGCCGCTACATTATTTTTTGTAATAAAACCAATGCACTTACAGCTCTTTCAACAACCTTATAAACCACAATCAGAATATACATTTACTGTGGAGGCATATGATTCTGATGAAGATCCGAGGTGTTAATTTTAAATAAATTTTAAAATAATTTTTTTTTAAATAAAAGAACTGCTCGAGTGTCTGTTAATGTTCGAATTGAAGAAGAAAAAGAAATTTTGGAAGAACAACAACAACATCACCATCATTTAACAAATAATGAACAATTATTAGATGAAGTAAGGGGGGAAAGGAAACATCAACGTTCGGCTATAAATGAAGAAATTGAAGGAGAAGAAGAGGATATTAGTCCAAAAGCTTGGGCTACAAGAATTAGGACTGTTGATAAGGTAAAAAGTAAACAGTCGAACAATGAATTTTGATACTCCTTAGGAGCCGAAAATTATAAATAATTTAATTTCATCAAATTCGAGGTCCGATTATAATTTTTAAAGATAGAATTATTTTAACGTTGGGGGGTTTTTAATCCAATTTGGAAATTTTAATGCCATATTCTTCTTCCAATTAAAATACCTTCCTTAAAACTTTCTAGGATGTTCCACCAATACTCATTCGACGTCAAGGCAAATCCTCTACTTCTACTGCAACTTCAAACACAAACACATTTAAAAATACCAATCAAAACCTTCGTTTACGCAACGAAATAAAATTCTCTCAAAATAATTATATTTTTCGAATGTTTGGGAATTTATTTGAGGGACAAACTATTGGATGGGTTTCTTCAGTTAAAAGAAAAATGAGTGAAGAAGGGGATTTAGAGGATCGGGATGGAAATAAAGAAGAAATATTAGACATTGAGAAGGAAGAGGAGGTGGTGGATTATTTAAATTTTGAATAATTAAAATTTTTAGTCATTAATTGAATACGCAGTCGAGGAGGGAATAGATGGTTTTGTTGGTGTAGATATGTTTAGTGGGCGGTTATTTGTTGGTCCTAAATTAGTTGGTGGAGCAGAACGTTTTGAAGAAATTCGTTTTTCTGTGGCAGCTATGCATCCACGTGATGGGCGGATTTGGGTTTGAATTTTTAAATAAATACTATAATAATAAAAAGTTCCCTTTAATCAAAAAATAAATAATGATATTGGCAATAATATTTTTCTAAAAAAATAATTCAATCCACAATTTCACTATTTTTTTAAAATATATTTTTTATTTTATTCTCTAGTCTTTCTTCCTTTTTTTCCTATTTTTTGTACGTTATTAAATATTATTATGGGTGGTCATTGGGCGCTTGGCAACCTTTTTTCTCGTCAAGGAAATGCTTTTCTTTGCCCACCTTTTTTGCCGCCTTTTTGCTAAAAATATAATTATTATTTATTTCTAAACCTTCTATTTATTTTATTTTTATTGTTTTTATTTTTATATTGTCATAATAATTATTTATATAATTAAACAAATTAAAATTTAATATTTTAATAAAATTTTATTTCTTATAAAATTTAGATAACTTTCAATATTTCTTAATAATATTTCTCCATTTATTTTTTAAATTATTTTTTCTAGTTTATTCTAAATTATTTTTTAAATCTTGTAATTTTTAGTGCACACTTTTAAGTGAAGATTATCTTCACTTACTTCTAATGTCTTTAGTATTTAACACTTTTTTGTCCACAAAAATTCCTTGATTGATTTTTGTACGTTTTTTAAAAAAAATTTCTTCAAATTATGTACTCTGGAATTATTCGAATATTTTTAAAAATAATGAAATAATGTTGCCAGAATCTTTGGTTTATCTTTTGACTAAGGTTTTTGAACTTGAATTTTAATATAGTTAATTTTTATGGGAAAAAATATTTTTTAAATTAATTTTAAAAATCTAAAAAATATTTTAAACATTTTTTCTTTCCTTTTTTTAAGGCAACAGCCCTCGTTTCTGTTATCTTTGATGAATCTTCCCCAACAATTAAGCCTTTCTTCGATCGTCAACAATTTAATTTTGAAGTTGATTTGTCCAATTTAAAACATTTTCCAACATTTTTGGGGCAACTCCAAGCAGAAATAAAAATAAATAAAACAGAATTGACAGAAATTCCTTTAATTATTTATTTAATTGAAGAACAAAAAAATGAAATTAAAATAATTGAAAATAAACAAAAAGAAGTTGTTGAAGCTGTACAGATATCCCCAAGTGATTTATTTAGTATTGGACGTGAAAGTGGAAAAATACATTTAATGAGGAAACCAACAGAGAATGAATTGAGTAAAAGAGAAGGAATTAAATTTAAAGTTTGGATAGTTTTTTAAAAATATTTAAAAAAAAATATAGTTAAAATAAATTTATTTCTAATAATATTTGTGAGATAGTATTTGGTATCATTCAATAGGTGTTAAATAAGGCTACAAAAATACACAAAAATAAATAAAGCCTAAATAAATTTTGAGTAAAACTTAAAAATTTGTAGAGAAAATTTTTCCTTAAGTAATTTTCCGCCACTGTAGGCTTTAAAATTTTTGATCAATGTTGAAGAAACTTTTGGATTTTTTGGATTTATTTTATAATTTAATTATAAAATAATCTATATTAAAGGGTCCGTCCATTCAGCCCTTTAATATAGATACATCTAAAGTTAGATAGACCTAAATTTTGGATGCATTTTGAAATTTGGTTGGCCACAGGGTGGAGGAGTTACCTAAGCAATACCTCCAAGATAGGATATCCCTTATTATAAGATAAGCTTTTTTTATAGTGAGGCCCAACTGTATTTGTTCTGAGACATTTAAATAAAATACATACAGTCATCGACATAAAGATAGGGGCAAGAGTAACTGAAATGAAAATTAAACATTTTCTCATTTAAAAATTCATTTTAGGAAAATTTTTTAAATTTTATTAGATACTCCATTTAATTCTCTATTTAATGGGTATAAATTTTACCGGAATAATATTTTATACTACCGAGCCCAAACTGAAATGAAAAAGTACTGCTAATTTTCGCGCGTCAAAAAGATAGGGGCAAGTCTCATAACTAAGTACTCACCCGGACAAAAAATCTATAAAAATTTATACAATCATATTGACCGATAATAAGAGGAAATAAAAAAGAACTAGGCTCGTATCTCATTTCGGTGTCGAGATCTCGATACCCCAAAAATCAACGTAAAACAGGGGTAGGCAACTTTAAAAAATTTTTTCGACCCCTTGTGGATAGTTTTAAATTTTTGTTTTGGGCTCATTCGATAGCCCTTAAAATTTGCTACAAGTTGGCCAAATTTTATTTCCCAGAAAAATTTCCCCCTCAAGATAAAGAACGTTGATTCTCAGAAACGCCATTTAAGAGGGAATTTATGGGGTCTCTGTTGCTTTTTGTAAAATTCGCCTCTTCAACTAACGAAATATTTGTTTCTGAAAAATGAAATTTAGCATGTTTATAGCAAATTTTAAGGGCTATCGAATGAGCCCAAAACAAAAATTTAAAACTATCCACAAGGGGTCGAAAAAATTTTTTAAAGTTGCCTACCCCTGTTTTACGTTGATTTTTGGGGTATCGAGATCTCGACACCGAAATGAGATACGAGCCTAGTTCTTTTTTATTTCCTCTTATTATCGGTCAATATGATTGTATAAATTTTTATAGATTTTTTGTCCGGGTGAGTACTTAGTTATGAGACTTGCCCCTATCTTTTTGACGCGCGAAAATTAGCAGTACTTTTTCATTTCAGTTTGGGCTCGGTAGTATAAAATATTATTCCGGTAAAATTTATACCCATTAAATAGAGAATTAAATGGAGTATCTAATAAAATTTAAAAAATTTTCCTAAAATGAATTTTTAAATGAGAAAATGTTTAATTTTCATTTCAGTTACTCTTGCCCCTATCTTTATGTCGATGACTGTATATAAAATTATTTAAAGGTATTTGCTTGTTCTAATTCCCAAACACAAAAATATCAACAACAACAACAAAATCATAACAATTGTTCTGAAGCAATAGTTAATGTTATATTTTTATCGGAATTAATTGAAAATAAACAAAAAAGAATTGAAAATCAAAAAACAAAAATAATTGAAGAAACAACACTACAAACATTTATCAGTCCATCCTCCCCCTCATCTACTTTATCTCCTTCAACTTCTACTAGCTCGTTAAATCAATCAATTAATAATCAAAATAATGAAATTCTTGAATTTATTCCTCTTCCAAAAAATATATTTTTAGCTCCAACCAAAACACCTGGTTCTACAATAATTAAGTAAATACATATATATTTGATTAGTAAATATTAATACAGTCGACCCTCTCCTTTTTAGATACACTTTTAATATTGAAAAATCATGCCCTAAGTGGTGTATATTTTAAATGGGTTAAACCTTAATTAGTTACCCTACTCAATGACCAACCAACATTAAAAAATTTTTTGGTGTATATTATAGCTAGGTTCGACTGTATTTTTTTATTATATTTAACAGTTTATCTGTGCGTATTCATGATCCAAATGATGGAAATTGGCATTTAATTCCAAATGGAATAGGAGGGAATAATCAACAAAATAATCAAAATATGCCATCCAACGTATATTTTAATTAATCAAAATAATTAAAAAATTTTTTTCTAGTTAAATTATTGGATAGAAGGTGAAGGAGAAAACTTATTTACAATTTATGGAAATTCTTTACTTCTTAAAAATCCTTTAAAACCTGGACAATTTGATATTAATTTACGTGCCCGTCTTCAACGTAAAGGGAAAATTTATGTTGCTGAACATAAACTTAGAATTATTGTAATTGATGATGAATTGCCTCAATTATATCCTGTTTTCGAGAAAATTAGTCATGAATTTAATGTAAAAATATTTTTTAGGAATATTATAATTTTATATTTAAAATTGAAAATAATATACTTGACGAATAATAAAAAACTATTTTTGTCCTAAAACAGCCTAGCGAAATTCTGAAAATATTTTTTAAAAATTTTTGAGTAATTAAAAAATTTATTTAAATTTTATTTTAATAAATTATTAAATTCAAAAATACAATCTAAAAAAATATTTTTAATTTTTCATTTCCTTAGATCGACCCAGAAGGCCATTTCCCTGTTGTTTTCCCACCATTAAATGCTTCCTTGGCAGGTGGTGGAAGTGAAAATATTCGTTTTAATCTTTTCCCTGCTCGAAGTAATGACCCAACAGATGGAATTGAAATACATCCAAAAACTGTAATTTTTTAGAAAATATTTCTAAAAAAATTATTTTGAAGGGACAAATAAGAGTTCGCCGTTCATTTCTTCGCCATTTCCCTTCCGGAAAGGGTGGAGAAGTTTTTCTTGTTGTTAGAGCTGTTAATCAAGCATTAAATGATAAACAACAAAAATATTTTTCTGATGCAAGTATTTCAATAATTATTAAACAAAAATGTTTGTTTTTTAATTTTCATTAAATTCCCTCCCCTTAATTTTCAGTAATTCCACCATTAAAATTCGAATCTACGTTGTATCGATATATTTTATCTGAACGTCAACCATCTGGAAGTATTTTAGAGAATGGCCCTCCAATTAGAATTCTAGAACCTAATTTACATTCAAATATTAGAATTAGACTAGCAACTTCTCCACAAACTGTTTGGGCACTTAAACATTTTGGATTAATGCCTAACGGGTCTTTAATGTTAAAAGAAGAAGTGGATATGGAAAAAATGTTGGATAAAAGTCAGGGATTAATAAAAATGGAGGTGATTTTAATTAAAAAAACTTTAATTTATTTTTGTGTTTTAGGTTGTTGCAGAAGATATTTCTGAAGGAAAAGAAGCTAGAGCTAAAGTTGAAATTCAAGTAAAAATGAAGAAAAATATTTCTTTTGAAAAAAACTTTTTAATTTTAAAGTTAATTGACAACAACGAACATATTCCTGTATTTACCCCCCTTTTCCCTAAATTTTATTTACAACCAGAAACCCTTTTTGCCGGCCATCCAATTGGGAAATTGTCCGTTAAAGATGAGGATTTTACTGATAGACAGGGAGATACACTTGCATTTAGGGCAATTTCTGGTAAAAATAAATTTGTTTTTTAAACAAATCTTTTAAAGGAAATGCTTCTAATCTCGTTCACGTTCAAAGAGATGGACAATTAATTATTAAAGATCAAAATGCAGCATTGCCCGGTGTTTATACTCTTCTTGTTGAAGTTCAGGATTTTGGTGGTTTAAGTGCTCGTACTACGGCTACTTTTATTTTATTAAATTATGGAGAGAAATTTACATCAACACAACCTGAAATGGAGAAAGGAATTTTGGAAGAGAAAGGTGTGTCTTTAATTGAAAAATTGGATTAAATAAATATTTTGGAAAGACTTGGAAAAATTCCGTTCCTGAACTTTTCCCCATTGAAAATATCCGATTAAGTCCTAACGATGTGCTTATAGAATCGTGCCGATCTTTACACAATCTCACGTTTTTAATTGATAAACTCGTTATTAATATTCAAAAAACAAATCTAAATTGAAGTTAAATATTTGCTCAGAAATATAATTAATAAAATTATCTAACCCCCTCACTAAACAATAATTACATCCTTAAAGTAGTTATAATTATCCTTTCTAAAATAAACTCAATTACTTAACTCCTTCCTATTAATCACCCCCTCTAGCAAATGATTAAATATTAATTACCCAGAGTAATTAATTGATCCAAAAATAATATAAAGTATTTTATGAAAGTAAAATAATTTAATATAATAGGCACTACAGTCGAGTTTCCACTTCCGCCAGTTGTTTTAGAAGGTGAAGAAGTTAAAGAACAAAACACAAAAATAATTGCTAGTTCTGGAGGAGGAAATAATTTAGCACCAATTTTCTCAGTACGTGATTCTATTGACTGGGGAAATATGAGAAAAATTGATAAAAATATGTCAGAAAATCTAAATTTTGTTTTGGAAGAAAATAATTATAAAGGGCTATTTCGAATGGATAAACAAAGTGGACAATTATTTTTGGAAGAAAATAAAGATTTGATTGATAGACAAAAGGAAGGAGGAGGAAATGATGATAATGAATTTGAATTGAGGGTTAGAGTAGAAAGTCCGATGGATGAAGGTGATAAAGAGAAAAACGGAAAAGGTAATTAAATATTAATTACCCAGGATAATTAATTGATACATTCAAACTTCATCTTTGAATACACGTTTTAGGCCAAAAAAATTTTACCTTATAATGAAAGGTATCTTAAATTAGGCAACTCCTTCTCTCCCAATGGGCAACAAAGTTAAAAAAAACGTAGCCTAAATTGAAGTTATCTAGTTTATCTAAAAATTAGTTTGACTTGAGCGGGCAATTTTCTAGTTACGAATTTACTTTTAGATTCAAATCCACGTATTCTTCTTCGTCGTGTTTATACCGTTCGGCTCGTTCCAAGTAGTGCTGTAGGCATTCAATCACTTAATAATAAATCCTCTACAAATGAAGTTAATATTGAAGACAGTACAATTCCAACAACTGAAAGTTCATTTACCCAATTATTTTCAACAAATTCTGATAATATTACAACACTTTCTGATGAAGAATCTTCAAAAACAACAACCTTTTCATCATCTTCAGTTTCCCCTCCATTCTCAGAAAGTAGTACAGCTGAAGAAATAACAACAACTATTAATCATGAATTTTCTACCAAAGAATTAATTGAAGAGACAACAACATTATTAACAAATCGAGAAGAATTAACAACAACAACAACAAATAATTTAGAAGAAGAATTTTCTCCTTCAACAACTTTAAAAGTTCCCTCTGCCCGTCCTTTAGAATTTTCCCCGACATTCTCCACAAAAATACCAACAAAACCTTCAACTTCTCCATCAAAAACATTTTCAACATTTTCCACTCGTCAACATTCAAAAACAACAGAAAAAATTAACTTTGCCCTTCCTCGTTATCATTGGCTTTTAAATAATCCAACAAACAATGTTTTGATTGGAAAATTGGATGTAATTGATTATTCGAATAAAGAAGAAATGATAAATAAATTTGAAATGATTATTGAACCTCCACAATTTAGGCAATGGTTTAAAGTAGATTCTGAGGTTACTCCCAAATATTTATTTATTAATAAAATTTTTATAAATTTAAAGACTGGCAATCTTTATTTAAATGAAGTACCTGAGGGCTTATATGGACGTCAAAGAGCAGAATTTCGCATAAATTTAATCGTTCACAATTCAATAATGGGAGAGACAAGTGTAACTGTTGATTTAAATTTACCTTCAAATGAAAATAAACAAAAAGAGAAAAATGTTGAGAATAATAATCAGCCAACAACAACAACTAAAACAACTTTAGAGACAACAATAGAAATTTCTGAAAGTTCTGATCAGGAGGTAATTAGAATTAAATTTAAAATCGAAAGGGAGGAAAGGGGGACTTTTTGTTGAAAGAGGGTGTTTATTATAGACAGAAATGGACTTTAAAATAAAAAAAAAGAACTTTTAAATCAAAAATTAATTTATTAAACAGGCAACATCACTAAATGAACTAGACAATATTCACCGTTTTACGGTGAGCGTTTCTCCAATGCATTTTGCTAGTACCACAACCCAAGGGGAGAGGGAAGAAGAAAATGAAGCAACAACCGAAATTGTTAAATTTACTAAAAAATCGAAAGGTGGAGAAGAAAGAATTAAAATGAAATAAAAAATAATTTTGTAGGACAACAAAATTTAAAGTTTGGATCCCCTGAATTTCGAGCAATGCTTCCTGAAGGGCGTTATGGCAATAGTGGAGCACAATTAACTCTTAGACCATATCCCCTTTCTACTGTATGTTCTTTTTTGGAATTTTTTAATTTTAATTTTCTGTAGGGAATGCCAAAAGGAATTCAATATTCAATTATTGACAATGAAGAAATAAATAATTCGGGACAATCACCTTTACCCTTTTTTGTGGTAAAGAAATAATTTTTAAATATTTTGAGAGATTACCTAATTAATTTTAAGCATAGTGATAGTGGAGATTTGGTGGCTTTTGCTGAAATTGATAGGGAAGAAAAGTCTGTATATCGATTTAAAGTTAAGGTAAATTAATCGAAATGATAAATATTATTATAAAAATTAGATCCCTATACAAGACAAATATTTGTTTTACATATTATTATAAGACAACAGATTCTCAAAAAAATTATTTTAAATTAAAAAAATATTTTTATCAGGCTTTTGACCCCTCAACTAATCAAAATGCCGAAACTCTAGTTACTGTCCAAATACTCGATGTAAATGATAATTTTCCACACTTTTTGGAGCCTTTAATTTGGACTATACCAATAGCAAGAAATACTCCATATAATACACAATTGGCAACTTTCCAAGCTAAAGACAATGATGAGGGTTCTCATGGACGTGTGCATTTTAAAATAGAAAAAGATTCAAGTGGCGGATTGTTTTATATTGATGGTAGAAGTGGTCAATTATTTTTGGCAAAGAATGTGCCTGCTGAGAATGTTGATCCTCGAGTAAGGGGAAAATTCGTTTTTTGTTTTCAACTACGGTCGAACCTCTTTTTTAGGTACCCTTTGAAACAGAAAAATCCTTAAACGATTTTTCTTAACTTAAGGCACTCTTATAATTAGGGGTACCTTAAGTTAAGGTACCTTCATCATTCAATGGCCAACCAAATTCTGAAAAACGTGTCTTAAATTGAGGAGTACCTAATATAAGGATATCTAAAAAATGGATTTAGACTGTAGCTTCGCAATATTTAAAGTAATATCCTTCCTTATTTTCCCCCACAATTTCAGGATCAATTTGAAATAATAATTTCTGCATTGGATGGTGGCCGTCCATCCCTCCGTACAGAACATCATATCAGAATTGAAGTTTTCCCTGAAGGAAATGAATTTGCTGCTCCAGAATTTCTTCGTCCTGAATTTAATGCTGGAAATATTAGTGGGGCTGCTGCACAAAATGGAACTTTTATTTTTCAAGTAACTGCTGGAACTTCTAAACAAATTTGTTATGAATTGATTGGTTGGGGGTTTTAGTTAAAAATTAAAGAAGAAATATTTTTCAGACCCTCCAATAGCTAAACTTTTCGTTATCGACTCGAATAACGGACAAATTCGGATGGGGAGACGCCCCTTAGATTCTGAACGTGGCCATCAATGGTTGTTGAATATTAGTGCATTTGATTGTCAACAAAAAGAGCATCAACATGGACTACATTGGGCATTTACAACGGTACTTTCATAAAGAAGAATTTTTAAGAGACTAATAAATTTACTAGGTAAAAGTCCAATTAGAACAATTACCAAACGAAATTATTCAAACAACAACAACAATTGGAATAACTAAAGGAGAAATAGATTCAGAAACAAATATAAAAGAGAATTGCCATTTTTCTCAAAAAGTTTACAATACTGAAATAACAGAAAATACACAAGGAAAACAAAAACTTTTAAATTTAAATATTATTGGAAATTGTGAAAATCAACAAATTCATTGTTTATTAAATCAAAGCAATGGTAAAAATTTATTTTTTTATAATTGAGAATATTGGGCAGAGTAAAATCTGAGGGAATTTCCAGCAGTATATACCAAAAAGTTTACGTTTCTTCGACTTTTTTGTGTCGGTGACTTCCTATATCTGTGTATGTATTACCCTAACAATTATATTTAAAAATATGAATTATCAAAATTCTTGCTCTACTTGGTACCAATTAGAGGTCGGTAAACCTCTAATTAGTACTAATTAGAGGTTGGTACTAATTAGAGGTCGGATTGGGTTTTAAACTTTCGAACAGTACAGGATCCCTCAGGGTTAATTCTGAAAATCTTGAAATCATGACAATCCTGAAAACCGAAAAAAGGCAGGATTTCGGGCAGGATCCTGTCCTGCGCCGACCTCCAGTACTAACTACGAGCAAAAAATAGGGGGGTTCTGAAATTCCCAATCACTACTTATAATCTTCCACAATTTTTATTTTAGAAGCATTTGAATTAAATGATGAAATTAATGAAAATAATAACAAATATTGTGAAGTTTTTGTTGTTCAATCCCTCGATAGAGAAAAGAAATCTATTCATTTTTTGGTTGTTAATATAAGTATTGAAAGTCAGGAAGGTAAAGCTTCTGTTAATGAAATACAAGTTGATTCTTCTGAATTAACAACAAAAAAAGTGGGGAATGATGAGGAAGAATTACAAAAAAGATTAAAAAGAAAAAATGGAATTAATAATAGAATTAAACAAAATAATTTAAAAGAAGGCCGAGAAGTGGCTTTTAATGGATTAGTTGAACGTTAATTTTTAAATAAATATATGGAGAAGATAATATAGAATGATAAAACAATAGTCTGTATATTTAGGGATATGACTTCCACAAATTAAAAATAATTTATTTAATTGATCTTATATTTTTGAATTTTTAAAATTAAAGCTTCCATCAAATATTTTTCAAATTATCAAAAAATCTCTAAAGGATTAATAAATATAGACTACCTTCTTTAAATTAAAATAATTAAAAATTTACCATTTCAGAAATCAAATCAAAGCTATCAGACAATCAAGCATTAATTGTTGTAAGAGTTATTGATCAAAATGATAATGAACCTAAAATTAATCATTTAACATCTGACGGACAAATTGGTTAGTTTTAAAAGCAAGTTGCTAATTAGAGACTGAACTTGGGGGATTTATCGAAATTTGAAATAGTTATCTCTAGAAATCCTGATACCAAAATTTTAGAATCAAATCTCTTCCCAATCCTATCTCTCTACTTTTAATTATTCTTAATTCTTCATTAGTTTTTGCTGTGGATTGGCAAACTCCAGTACTTCAACCTATTGGACGTATTCAAGCCTTTGATCCTGATGAACAGCCTAAACAATTACAATTTTATTTAGAAGGAGATAATTCTAAATTATTTTCTATTAATTCAAGTTCTGGTGTTATTCAATTAATGAAATCTTTACAAATAGAAAATTCTGATGAATATTATTTGAGTGTTAGTGTTAGTGATGGAGAACATACAATACAAACACCTTTAACTGTATGGAAATTTTTTTGATTTTTACATTGTGGTTAGGGATGGGTCGTAACAGAGGTCTTGGAAATTAGAACTTGGAAATTAAATAAAAATCGGAAATTGGAAGTTAAAAAGCATCCGAACGAGGAAATCTAAATTCAGCCCCACCTCTGATTGTGACGATAAAAAATTCTCTTTTTTAGATTTATAGACTTCAATTAGGAACGAATATTGCTCTTTTAGTAATAAATAAACCGGTAGATCAAGTAGATGTACTTAATGTTGTTAGGTACTTTATATTTTTTGTAGAAAATTATTTTTCAATTTAAAAAGACATTTAAATGCACTTCTCCCTTCTTTGGATGTTGATGTTCTTGTTAAACAAGTTTATATTGGAGAAAATGGATTGGCTGATCCAAAACGAACTCATTTACTTGTTTATGCCCAAGACAAACAAACAAGAATACCTTTGCCTGCTAATAAATTAAAAGAGTGAGAAAAAAATTTTTTTGGAAAATAGAAATTTGAAAATATACCCCTTTTGACTTTACAGTTTACCCCCAATTGTAGCAATTAAATTCTATCAGAAATTCAAAAATAATTTTTTATATTTTTTCATAGATTGTTAGAATCTTCCCTCGCTCAATCAGTCTCTTCCGACACAAATTCCCCTTCTATTCCAAATCTCAAAATTTCTGATTCTCCTTTACAATTCTTGGCAAGTGTTCAAGTTCCGGATTATGGTGTTTGGAGTTCAACAGCTCCCTTCAGATTAAATCCAACTGAAATTGTAAGAGAATTACAACAGAGTTTTTGAAATAATTAATTTAATTTTTAAAAAGATTTTATTGTCTGTCAGTGCATTTTTGGTATTCGGAATTTGTACAATGCTTTATTTACTTTTGCGGTGCTGTAAAAGGTATAAAAATAATTTTTTAAATAAAAAAATTTTTTTAGAAAACAAGAATTGATAACAAAATCTGATTTGGAATATATGGTAGACAGTCAAATAGCTGGTCCTCGGCCATATAATGTTGAATTAATAACACGTAAAGCTATGCAAAATGCTCAAAATGCTACACTTAGATTGCCTGAACCTGTTGAGGATTGCACTTTGACGTAGATTTAAAAAAATATTTTTGGATTTGATTCCTACTTATATACATAAAATTGAGAATCAAAAAACTTAAAAGAAATACCGTTAAATCTCACTTATCTCCAAAATTCTCCAAAATTTGATAATCAAGAATGATAAATTTTTGTAAACTTGATTGGCCACACGGAGAGTAGACTAACTAATATTTCTACTTAGGTTACTATTTAGGAATGTTGGTTTAACTGTGTTCAAAACTATTTATAAAATCATTTTTAAAATAACAACATTAATATTTTCATTTAAATTTTCTAGGCCAGAATCTCGCGCAACAATGCTTGCTTCTTCGGGTATTTATAGCGGCGGCAATTTAGGAGGTCCATTAAGAAGAACAAATCGTGTAACAACAACAGAATCATCTTTATCAGAGGAAGGAACACCGCCACAATTTTCTCGTTCAAATATGTCAAATGAACAATTAATAAGAGGCCAAGGAGGATTATATGGAAGAAATGGAGACCCTGTTAGTTGTAAACGAGGAAAAAATTAATTTTTAAAAAAAATATTTAGGAAGAACCAGAATATTCTCCAACAATTCCTCGACATCAAAGATTACAAAATAATTATGAATCTGGTGAACAAAGCCCGGAAACTATGAGGAGTGAAGCAGAAGAAATAAATGTTTCACCTCCAGAGGAATGTCCTCCACCCCCACCTTCAAGTAGTCCTCCAGAATTAAATGGAAAATAAATTATAATTAAATAATCAAAAATAAATTTAAAAATCTAACATACATATTTATTAAAATTATTTAAAAATGGAAAAAGTTTTTTTAATTAGAAAACTACTTGTATGTTAGACTCCTATTATGTTAGACTTTAAATAATCATACAAAAATATATTACAAATATTGTTTTGTTAATGCTATTTAAATTATCTAGCAATAATGTATTTATAATTGTATCAAAAGATTTAATTTTATAAATATACAGTCCAATTTTTTAAATTTATTAGTTAAAAATTAATCAAAAAACTGTAAAATGACCGGTAGGGGGAAATGATGTTATTTAATGAGTTTTTGATATATTTAATTAATGATCAATGGTGGTAGCTATCTAGCGCATTAATCTTGTGAATCAACAGATGTGGCTTCTTTTGCACTATTATCAGGTGTAGTAACCTCTTCTGCTTTGCAATACTTTAAAAAAGATAAAAGCTTAAATTTAAAATCTAAAAAACCTGAGAAAAAACCTCGACTTGACAATTTTCTAAAAATTTAATTTTTAAAAATTTCTTAAAATTTTCTTCAAAAACCTTCAAGCCATTCTTGTCTACGTCTATGTAGTCCCCTTTGATCAGTGCAAAAAGGTTTATTATTAGTCCCATCTATATCTTCACCATCTTTTGGTATACACCAATTACATTTAATTGTTTTTAACACCATTTTTTGACATTCTTCACATGTGGTAGCATCCAAACAGGCTAAAAATGATGGAAAAATAATTTTATTTTTTTCGAAAATTAATTTTTAAAATTACTTTTTAATGCTTCCATAAATACCACAGAATTTGAAGTTATTTTGTCAGGCAATACGTTTATTCGACGGTACTGGAAAATTCTTTAAAGTTTTTAGGTGAGGCACTTTGTTATGTTCAAGTCTGTCAGAGATTTGGCAAAGTCGAGGGGCAGTATAATAACTCTGTAATAGTGCTACATAAGCACATGGCCATAAGTGGCCATATACATGGCATATACATATACTTATGGCCATATACATGGCCATAAGCCACACCCACTTTTTCACTCCATTCTTAGACAGGAGAAAGACAAGTAAGAGGGGAAAATGAGTAAAAAAAGAAAATAACTTTTTTGCTAGATTGAAAAGCAGGTTGATCATTTCTAACCTTGTAATTAAATAAATAGGCATCAGAAATTCCCATTTTGGGTGGATGAAAAGAATCACTTATATTTGTTATTGGGATTGGAACCTTTAAGAGATATGAATATTTTTAGAAGAAATTTTTTTAAAATGCCTCTTTATAAACAAAAGTTATATTTCCATTGCGCCAAAGATGGACTTGGAAGGTAAAAGGGCCAGCTAATAAATTAAGAAATTAGGATTTTTTGAAGATTCTTTCAAATACCTTGTCGATTATCACGAAGAGTAATTGCATGCCATTCAACAACAACTCTCTTTCCGTCATCTGCATAAGCAATACTTGATCTATTCTCCATTGTATCAAAGTATGCCATAAGAGGAGCAATATATCTAAAAAATGTTATATAAAATATTCAAGACTTTCAAAAATATAGGTTATGATTATATAAACTTAAAATACCTTAGTCAAAGATACAATTTACTGGACCCGGGAAGAAATTAAGAAGAAGTGCTCTTCCGGTATTTTTGAGGTTTGGTAATCTTGTGTGCTGAGTCCAAATCTGAGTTTAGACTTTATTTCGAATCCCGAACCAGAATTCGGTCAAGTTGAATCCGGAAAAAATTTGAAATTAGGATAATTATTGTTTCAACAACTTTAGACGAAGTTATGATCAATTAAATCCTTGATTATACTGCATCCTTGATTACTATACTATACTTCCGTATGTATACAAAACTTACCCACTAACAAGGATAGTTTAGTTCAAATTTAAATTCGACCTAACGAATTCTTAAAGCGATTTATTTAAGAACGAAATTAAAGTTTTGTAAAAAAAACTGTGTAGCTGCTAGCCAAGAATGTGTTTGATCACCAACATAAATAAATCCACCTACACCAATTGTTAACTTTTGAAGTTTATGTCCATAAAAAGGAAAATCAAATTTAAGTTTAACTTCCATAGATATTCTATAAGCATTGTTCAAATGAGAATAATCTATCTTTAAGACAAAAAGATATTAAATTTTTATTTTTGGAATTCAAAAGATTCCTAAACTTGTCCAGAAGCCCCACATTCATCAATCCATTTTTGAATGTCTACATAATTTTGAGAAAAAAGTTCTTCATTGTTTGTATGTGTTGTCATTACATAATAACTATGTTCAGTCTTAAAAAAATTGAAATTTTTAGGAAAAAATCCCCCACAGCTTCTGACTCATTATCATCTTCTAATTCAATATCACTTGGAAATCCAGTATAAAAATCAAGCAAGTCGTGTCTCTCTCTTTTAAATTTCATGTATGGATTAGTGCTTCTAATGGATTCGTTATTCCAATTTTCATTGTAATTCAATAATCCATCATTGGAGGAAACAATAGGTATTAAAATTAATAAAATAAGTGGAATATTTTCCATTTTCTTCACTTAAATTTTTTTGGAATATCTAGTTTTAGGTGTGTAATTTAAATTTTTATATCGTGCAGAGATGAGATGTATATTTCAAGTGATAAGTAGGTTTTAATATGTATGAGGTCCCGCTAAAGAAAACTTGTAATGGCCGTAAACGTAGAAACAAATATTTTAAACAAATAACAAAAAAAATAGCGAACGATTTGAAAATAAAAAATTTAGACCAACTCGCAGTCCATATGTAATTTTGTGTAATTTGGACGAGTGACATTTGTATATTTTTTTTAAATTTTTATTAACTAAATTTAGAAAATCATAAAAAATAATGTGTGTGTTAATAAAGGGAAATTTTGTTTTAAAAAAAAGTTAAAAATGCACAGAATAAGGCATTAATTTTGTAAAAAATATTTTTCTTTTAATTTTTAAGGGGAAAGGATATAGGCAAACAGTTGGGGTTAAAAGCAGAAAGTTTAACTAAATAATTAATTTCAAAGCCTTCCCTCAAAATTTTTAGAAAAAAATATTTTTGCTTTATCAATAAATATTAAGTAATATCTTCTTTAATTATCTTCATTACTGTTACTGCTACTACTATTTTCTTCAACAAAAAATTTAGCTTTCATCGGTTTCTTCTCAAAATCATTATTATTTATTGAATTATTTCCCCCAACATCATCTCTGCTATATTTTAGATATGAAGGTTTTGTATCTCTATATTCTGTAAAAACTGAAGAATTTCCAACAATTTTTGTATTATTTATTTGGGGAAGTGAATGTTGTTGTTGTTGATTATTTAAATTATCTAAAAAAATTTTTTTTAATTTTTTTAAAATTAAATTTTTTTAATTTAAAGATTTTTCTTCATACTTTCTAATAAAATTTAATTAATCCCTCCCAACAATTTTTAATAAAATTTATATTTTATTTTTCTCTCCCTTTTCTTTACCTTCTTGGCTAAAAACATTTAAAGTTGTTGGACGACGAATTGTTGGTGGTGAACATGTTTCAGAACCTTCTGGTACCGAACAAAGTGCTGGTTGCTTTCCAAAACCCTTTAAAAAATTTATTTTTTAAGCTTAAAAATTAATTTTTCAAACAATTTGTCTTTCATTATTTTGTTCTTCTTCATTCATCCCCTCATTTTCATTTAATAATTCTCCTCCTCCTTTTCTTCCTTCATCTTCAATATTTTCTCCTCCAACTCTTTGTCTTTTAATTCCTCTTCTTTTAACTAATAAAGGTGCTGTATAAACATCCATTAATTGAAATCCTTCACGTGAAGCTGAAATAAAAGCTGAAATTGTTGCATTAAAAGTTTCATCGGCACTTCTAGGTAAAATTGTTGGGGTAGGTAATTCTGTTGCTGTATATGCAGAAGATTCTGGAGTTTTTGCTGAATCTAACCATGGATGTTTTGCTACTTGAGCAAGAGATAATCTACGTGTTGGGTCTACTGTTAGAAGACCAGTAACTGAAAAAATAAATTGAGTAAGGATTTTAGGAAAGTTAATTAATAAATTATGAGGGTGTACTGATTTTTCAAAAATGAAATACAAAAAAAAAACGAAAGACTGAAGAGTAGAAAAAAGCAAAAGTATCCCTGTTCTGTTATTAAAGACTCACTTAAATCTTTTGCCGGTTCAGATACCATTCCCCAAACTGGCCCTTCAAAAGAAAATTCAGCCCTTTTAATTCTCGCAATAATATCAGCAGCTGATTCAGCTTGACTTTTAGCATGAAAAGGTACTTTTCCAGAAAGTAAAGTAAACAAAACAACACCAAGACTCCACAAATCACATTGCTGAAAAATGAACATTTTAATTAAAAAAAGAGAACATTTAACTTTACTTGATTATATTGTGGTAATTCATCTTCAATTTCCAAAACTTCCGGAGCCGCATAATGTAATGTTCCACAAAGAGGAGTAATTAAATTTTTTGTTGACGAAGAAAAACTTCCACTATTTCCACGCATAGTAGAAGGGAGAATTCTTGCAAATCCAAAATCAACAAGGCGAAGAGAATAATTGCCTTAATTAATAGAAAATGAGAGGAAGGCTGTCAATTTAAAATTATTCCCCAAATATTATTAATTAATTACCAGGTTCACTACTAGCAAAAAGAATATTTTCAGGCTTCAAGTCTCTATGAACAATATCTTTTGAATGCATATGCCGTAATGAAGAAACTAATTGAGTCATTATTTCTGCTGCCTAATTTTTTCAAAAAAATTTTCTTTAAAGATTTATTCCTTTTTTACTTGAATTTCTGTAAACTTTTCCATTCTTCTCAACCGATCCAATAATTCCCCTCCTTCCAATTTTTCCAAAACAATATAATAATGAAATTGATCAGATATTGCTTCAATTAATGGAACGATATGTGGATGGGGATTTAATGTTTCCAATATTCGAACTTCTCTTATTGCTTGATTTGCAAATCTTTGGGAAACAATTTTAACAGCAAATTCTTTTCCATCATTTAATCTTTGACATTTTCTACAAACAGAAAAAGAGCCCCGTCCAAGGAATCCCTGAGGAGTTGTGTCTAATTTATATTTTGAAAAGAAGGCAGAATTATTTGAAGTTAAAAGTTGGACAGATTCTTCGAGGCATTCTTGGCCAATTACTAAAAATAAAGTGAATATCATCATTTTCTTCTCAAAAAATTAAAAGTTTACCATTATCGTTTGAGAAAATAACAGAAGGCGAAACAAAAGAATATCCTCTAAAAAATTTATGAAATTCTTGTGAAGGTTTTTCTGCTGGAGAGAATAATGGTGTTTGTGCAGTAAATTCTGAATAATTTTTTAAAATTATTTTTCCAATACCCCTCACCAGAAGCAAAATTTTCAACGTCAGTCTGTCCTCCAGTAATATTCGGTTTTAACGGTCCAGGCATTTCACGTTTTTCTATTACTGCCCAATTAATGGGAGCAAAGAATTTGGATTTTTTGATTTCCTCTAAACCTTCTTTAGCTCCCAATCTAAAAAATTATTTTTAAAAAATATTTTTATTTATTTAACACCTTTGATTGGGATCTTTATTTAATAATGCAAAAATTAAATCGCGAGCTGAAGGATCCATAGTTTTGGGAAAAGGCACACGTTTAGTGAGAATACGTCTTGCAATATCTGATGTACTGTTTTGGTCACCATCAACTCTAAAAGTAAATTAGAAGGTGATTAAATTTTTAAAATCCCTCAGGGAGATAATGACAGGATAGGAATGAGTTAGTGTGTTTGTGTTTTGGCTGTGTTTTGTGTTTTGTTTTGGCATTGTTTTGTGTTTTTTTTTTTATTTTTTTTTTATTTTTATTTTTTTTTTTTTTGTTTTTTTTTTTTATTTTTTTTTTGTTTTGTTTTATTTTTTTTTATTTTTTTTCCAAATGTGTTTTGGCATTCCCACTTATTGTATTCTCTCCAACCTCTATTTAAATGACCCTTCTAATTAAATGACACTTTTTGAGAGAGGATTCCGTCTTCAATCTTCCCCCTTACACCCCATCTTTTTCAGACCCTAAATATATTTTTAAATATTTATTACGTAAATGGAGAACATCCCGTTAATAATTCAAAAGCAATAACTCCAAAACTCCACCAATCAACAACTTGAGTATATCCATCAGATGTACGGCGTATAATCTCTGGAGACATATATCTAAATAAAAAGATTTTTTTAAACAATAATTTTTAATTAACTCAATAGTTCCACAATAAGAATTTGTAGCATTTTCATCAACTTCAAAAGCCTTAGAAAGTCCAAAATCAGTTAATTTAATATGCCCTTCTTCATCCAATAAAATATTTTCTAATTTTAAATCTCTATAAATAACACCCGCTTTGTGAACATTTTCTAATGCTAAAGCGATTTCTGCCAAAATAAATCTAGCTGTCGACAAATCAAATTTTTTTCTTTTACATAAATGTGTGAAAAGTTCTCCTCCACGAACAAATTCTGATTAATAATTTTTAAAATTTATTTTTAAAATAAATTAATTACCCATAACGATATGTAATTTTGTATCTGTTTGGAAGGCATAAACCATATTTACCTAGAAATAATTATTTTAAAAGAGAGTAAAAGTATTTTTACGTGGACCCGTGGGTCTACAAAAAAATTTCAAGTAAAAATGAAGTATACTAAAATTAACGCTTAGGCAGCTAGTTAATCCAAATTTAAATCTCTTTTAAAGTTTGGGTGTACGTAAAATCGAGGCCCGACTTTATTAAAAAAATTTTTTTTTACCAAAAAAGGTAATCCTTTCAATCTTTCCAAAACTTTTCTTTCAGCTAATGTGTGTTCAAGTGTTTTTTGTTTTTGCGTTACTCGAGTCTTTTTTAGCACCTTCATAGCATAATAACGTCCACTATCTTGCCCACCTATCCTTCTAACGAGAAATACTTTTCCATAAGCTAAAAACAAATATCAAAATCCCTTCAAATATTATTTATTCCCTCACCCCCCTTTCCAAGAACTCTAATCAAAGCAAAATTCTCCATTGAAACCTTCTCATTTCCGCCCTCATCCATTTGCCAACAAGAGAGAAAACCGCTATCCTCATGTTCAAGATTTTCTTTTGTTTTGGGGGAATAAGGAGGTGAAAAACAACAGGAAGTACTTGCAGAACAGAAAGATGAAGAACTATTAGTATTGTTATTATTTTTAGACATCTCTAAAAATAATTAAAAATTAAATTTTCGAATAATTTATTAAAATATTTAAATTACAGAAAATATAGGAAATAGACGAAAACTTGAATATAAAGCAGAGGTGGGTAGGAATTCCGATTTCCGATAGTTCCGATTTCCGGCACCTTCGTCATTTCAGAATCACCTCTGATATAAAATGAGGATACTTTAGGAGTAGAAAGGTATAAAGAAATAAATTAATTCTTGCTAAATTTCCCTCAGATTTGTGACTTTCTCGTAATTAATATAAAAATTCTTTTGAATTAATAAAAGAATTATAAAGTTTATTAAAGTCAAAAAACGGAAATAAATATATATAAAACTTGATTAAAAATTCAATTCCCAAGAATTCAACTAAATAATTAAAGAAAATAAAATTATATATATTTAAATGGAATAAAAAATTAAATAAAAAAATATAGACTGACGTGAATGCGCAAAAATGTATTTATTTATTAAAAAAAAGAAGTATTAGAGGGTGGGTGTTTGTTGAACTAAAAGAGAATGAGTGAGCAAAACGGAAGTATTATTATTTTATTTTTTTTGGCCATAATAAAGTTTATAGTTTCAACACAAACATTTCCATCATTTGACAAATTGGCCATAAATTATTTAAAAGAAAATAACGAGAATATATTGAAAGAGAAGAGAGAAGAAAAATGGTCTCGAACAAACAAAAAACAATAAATTGAAGAAGTGTGGGGAAGGATAGAAATTAGAGTGTTTAAAATTGATTTAAATTTTTTAATAAAAAATAAGGAAACGAAAATATTAACTAAATTATTGTCTTGTATATTTATTTAATAAATTTTTTATCTTCAAAAAATTACTAGTTATTGATAGTTTAAATTAGGTTAGCATCCCGAGCCTTAGGGGTCGGAACGGGGTTTTTGCCAAAAAAATCAGGAGCTACGGACGGGGAGCTACCCCAGTCCTTAGTTTTAAAAATATGTATTAGATACCCCCTAAACTTTAAAATATATTTAAGTTGCCTTTATATGTATTTTTATATTGTTGATACTTTAATATAAATAATGTGTTAATATTTACGTAAATGTAAATCTGTACTTAAAAATAATAATTTAAAATAAAAACAAAGAAAAAACAAAAATCTCAGATCATTATAATTTAAATAAAATGTTTATTTTTCAATAAAAATAAAAATATTATTTAAAATTTTATTTGAGAGAATTTACATAAAATTAAAAAAAAAAAATAATGTATTTAATAATAAAAAATAAAACATTATTTTTTAAAAAACAGAAATAAATTACTGATTAATTCAAAAAAATTTTTTTCCCACTTTCTTTCAAGTCTTGAGTTTAATTGATTATTTACGAAAATATATATTTTCTTATCTTTAAGAAACTCATTCTCGATTAAATATTTTCTTTAAAAAAAGAATATATATTTTATTATAAATTTAAAGAATGAGAATATTTTTTTATTAAAAGAAAAACAAATCTAAGATTACAAAATGCTTCCCGAAAATTCTGGATAAAATTCTATAAAGATGGGATAAATATGAATTTAATACTATCATAAGACGATATGTAAATAATTTGGTATGAAAAACAAATAATGTGGCGATAAGTAAAGAATTTAAAGTATCTTGGGTATAATAGAAAGGATAGTTGATATCCAAAGCTATTTTTAAAAATAGATGGATTTCCTAACTATTTGATAAAAATTGTAGTAATCATTCACAAGTAATTCACAAAACAATATTCTAAATCAAATATTTTAAATCAAGTTATTATTAGGGTTGGGGTTTTCGAGCCGGGCCGATGTTTGAGTCATTTTTCGGGCCTCATTTTTAGCGGGCTGGCCCGGCCGAGTCTTTTTTCGAGCCAAAATTCAATGCCCGACTCGATCTTTCGGACCATCCCGGATCGGTCCCCCAACCCTAGTTATTACAATTATTTAATATTCATTGGAACATCTAAAAATAAACAAACAAAAATAAATAAAATATTAAATGTGAATAAAAATTGAAGGAATTGGCTGAATGAATACACAAAAAATATAAATTTCTAAAAAAATATAAGAGGCTTTTTTGTGTTCAATTTTGTGTTCCACCATTTTCGTTCGCGTACTTTCTACCCTTTTTCGAAACTGATTGTGTGTATTTTTTATATATAAATTACTCATAAATAAATAAGGGAATCTTTTCTTGTGAAATATTTTTAAAAGAGAGATTTAAATTAGCTAAAATTTGAAATATTTTTTAAATTCTGTTACACAAGAGAGATCTCCCTTCCACTTTTAGCTTTCCATTCAAATCTTATTAATAAAAATAGAGAAGATTAAACTTTAAAATTTATTAAATAATTACTAAAAAATTAATTTTAATTACATATTTAAAATTTTTTGATTTTTTTATTAAAAAAATTATTATATTTTTAAATTAATTGTATTAGAGATATACATAAATTAATATCAAGATTGTGTTATAATCAAATTTAAATTTTCTATTTATTTTTTATTCCTTTTAAAAATATTTGGGTGAGTTTATAAGTAAAATAATTAATTTAAAATATTTAATTTAAATAAAATTGGATCTTATTTTTAAATACTCCTCAGTAAATGAAAAATACGTATTAAAAAATAAGAGATAACTAAAAGCGAGAGTACTTTTAAAAACGAGATTTGACCATTATTTTTTTACCCTTCTTTTAAAATTTTAAAAATAAACTAATTTGGAAAAATTATAACTTTAAAAGTTAATAAAAAAATAATTCAAGAACTTATTTTCTTACTTTTCTGATTAATTTAAATAATACTTATAGGTAATAAAATAGCAAAAAAATGTCAATATAAAAATAATGAATTTTTGAGTAAAATAAATAAAAAAGTGTAAATAGAACGGATTTATTTACGTCATTTTCTATTAATGCCGTCATAGATAAAAATAGAAAAATGTGGTAAAATAATAGAATGTTCATTAAAATAAAAGAAAGGCAAAAAATACATATTATATGACGAATATTTGTTAATAATTAATTAAAATATATAATTGAATAATAAAAAAAGAAGTTTTTTTTAATTTTGTGTGTTTTATAATTTTGATTAAGTAATTAAAAAGTTTATGAGAGCAAAATTAATTAAAAAATTATTAAAGTCATTGTATTAGAAAAAAATTTAAAGTTTGAATGAGAGAAGAAAGGATTAAATAAAAATAAAAAGAGGTGTTATTAATTAATAATTTAATAATTAAAAATTAAACCAGGCAAATAATTAATTTTGTCATTTTAATTAATCAAACATAAACATATACATTTATTTTAATTAAATAATTCATTAAATTGTTAAAATAATAAAGAAAATAATTTTTTAAATTTTGATTTGTATAGAGACGAGTGTAAATACATATTTATAAATTAAAGAAAGATAAAACGAAATAAATTAAATTAATTATAAAATAAATAAAAAATAGATACCTACCGTAAATGCTGAAATAATTATCCTGGATAATTGTTGTTTCAATCTCTCACTGGAGAGGTAGTTATTCGAGAGGGGGTATATTTATCTCAATTTAGGGTATAGCTCAATCCAGTTGAGGCGAAATAGATTTATTTTTTGATATTAAGACTTAAAATCTTCCAATAATTAAATTTGATAGTAATTCTTTAAATATTTTTAAAGTTCGAGTAAAATAACTATTGGGGTGATTATTAGAGAGGGTAATTATTTGTTATTTCAGCATTTACGGTATATGTAAATTAATTATTTAATTTATTTAATTCAAAAATTTATTTTTTTTAATTTAAAATTTATTTTTTAAATTGCTATTAATTTTACTTATTTTTTACATAAATATATTTTTATTAAACAAAAATCCAACCAAAATAAATTTAAAAAAAGTTTTTTCTTTGTCAAATTAATTGATTCCTTTTTATTTATAAAAAAGGGGAAATTGTTGAAAATAAATATAAAATGTATAAAAATCAAAAAAGAAAGTTTTAAAAAATGTGGCCAAACACACAAAACTAAATTGAAAAAAATTGAAAAAAATTTTAAAAAGTGGAAAAGCTGGAAGAAATGAGAAAGAAAAGCGCGGGTGGATAGAAGAAGGAATTTTTATTGAGTAAAAGAATATTTAATAGTAGCTAGCTAGCTATATTTTACTTTAAATATTTTAGAGAACAAAAATTGAAAAGAGAAAAGAAAAGAAAAATTAGAGACAGCCTCTAAAATGTTCTGCTTTTTTTAGTTTTTTAAAAAGCTTCCATTCTACTAGACAAATTGTATTTTATTTAGGAATATTTGGGAATGTCCTATATTAATATATAATTTTTAAATAGTGTGTCCTAAGATTTGTTAGAATTTCTCTTGAAATTAATTTTTATTTTCTCTTTTCAAAGTCTTTAAGTCATATACTGTATATACTCTATTACTTAACCTCCCTCAAATAATTACCCCGCCCTATTAATTACCCCTTCCAGCAAAAGAGTGAAACAGTAATACCCCTTTAAAAATAATTATAATAAGCCTTCCTAAAAGAACCTCTATTAATTACCCTCTCCAGAGAAAGGTCGAAACAATAATTACCCAGGATAATTAATAGAGTATACATATACGGTATGTACATATTATATGTATATTTTTTATCTTTAGTTGGATTTATCAGTTTTGGATATTTACATTTTAGCCAAAACACAAATGTTTATATGTATGTATTAAGGTTGTCGGATCCGGATATCCGGATCCGAAAAAAGGCCGGATATCCGGAAATTTTCGGTTCGGATATCGGATCCGGATCCGGATATCCGAAATTTTCGGTTCGGATATCGGATCCGGATCCGGATATCCGAAAATTTCGGTTCGGATATCGGATCCGG